ACTCACGCGGGCCCAGGCGCCCGGCTGTGCGCCGGTTTCTCCGCGGGGAAAAGCCGGGCTCCTCGGGTCGGGCTGTGCCCAGAGCCCGGCTCCTGCAGGCGCTCCGGTGTCTTCTGTGCGTTTGTTGACACAATGAATCCGAAGCCTGCGGGGCGCTGGTTTCCTGTTTTGTTGCGGGCGGGAGCCTCCGGCTGGGGTGGGGTGGAGGCGGGTGAGGGCACAGATAGCCTGGGGACAGACCTCTGGGCCTCTCCCCGGCCCCGGCCGAGTGACGGGGAGCTCACTCCCTGGGGGCCGTGGGTCCGAGCCCAGCGGCCAGCTGAGATCCGGAGAAGGCGACCCTCCTTCGGGCGGGCGCTGTCCCAGGCCCTGCGTGGGGCGCTTGCCCTGGTCCATAGACCGTAGGCTGAGTGTCCAGGTCCGGCCCAGGCAGAGTGCGGCGGGCCGTCGGGGCAGGCAGCGCGCCCTCCCCATCACCTAGGCCTCCCTGAGCCCTGGGGGGGGGGGGCAGTCTCAGAGGCGGGAAGGCGCCCCGCATCCAATTTGCGCCAACGGGGGGTGGAGGTTTGGGGAGGGCCGTCTGGGTGTGCTGGCTGCTCCTCAGAGGAGTTGGGGGGGCCGGGGGTTGGGGGCGTCCCTCTCCCGGCTCAGGGACTTTCTGAGAACAACACTGCAACTGAGGTCTTCCCTGGGCTCCTGCCTCCTCCTTCGGGGCGCTGTGCACCGGTGGCCTGGCAGGCCTGGCACTAAAGGACCCTCCGCGCCCCCCCCCCCCCCCCCCCCGCAATCTGGAGAGCTGCTCCTCCCCAAACTCGCTATCCGCCAAATCCACGGAGTGAGGGGCTCCGGAAGGCCAATGCTGTTTGTGCGGGTCTCCCTGGAGCTGGCACTTCCATTCTCACGGTTAGCTTCTGGCCACCAAATGCCTTCCCAGAGTCCAAACCTGTCCCCACAGCCTTGGGCCTCTTGCTGCTTCATTAATGCTTCAAATGCACACAAATCCAGAACCAAAGCGTGAGCAAGTGGCTCAGGGTAGGCCATTGCCCTGCCCACTGCCCAGCGTCAGCTCAGGTCTCTTCAGAACTTACCCTTTCTCCTAAAAAAAGAAAGTGCAGCTTTCACCCCAGTGGGAACAAGGGTGGGAAACCCACAAAGCTCGCTGTGACCAGAACGGCCCTGCTCCCGTCTCTTCCCTCGCTGGTCTAGGGGACTGCAGATTCCGGGTTCTTTCCTGCTCAGTTGTTTTCCCCCAAATCTCTTTCTCTTTCCCCGCTAAGCTAGCCCGGCTTCTCTGCCACTTCTCCCTCCATATCTTTCCTCCTCTGCCATTATCTCTGCAACCCCACCCCTCCCGCCGTGGGAGAGAGAGGGTTAAGATGTTCTGCAAATGCCGCTCGCTCGTAAAGCTGTTTGGATACATTAGAAACACATGAATATCTTGAAATACAAAGTGTCTTTAAAACCAACAGGAATGTTTATCCTGATGTTCGATGGGCGCAGGGGCAGGGTGCCAGGGAGCCGTGCTGACAGCCTCCTCCCAGCTAGAGTGAGAGCAGGTAAATTTCATTTGCTAGTGAACATCAAACTCGATTAAACCCCGTCTTTCTCCTTTGTTCCTTTCTCCTCTAACCCCGAGAGCCCAGATTGCCCTGGCCCAGCCTGGTAAGGAGTCCCCCACCGTCTCCCCCCCCCCCCAAAAAAAAAACAGCCAAGATCTCTTTCTTCAGAAAGAGGCTCCAGGATAGCGAGGCCCACGGGCACCCTGACCGGCCCTAAGAGGCCAGAAGCCATGGCTGCCAAGGGGCTGGCTCCTGGAACAAAGGCCAAGCCCCTGGCCGACTACCGCCCTCCCATCCGACCCCTGCTGCCTAGCCAGGGCCCCCTTGGGGGGCATCAGGGCGCACCTCCACCCCTGCCACCCTCTGGCTCCAGGGGCCACTTCTTCCCTCAGATCCCACTGGGTGCCCTGGCTTCCTTAACCCAGCTCACAAAGGGATAGCATGGGGATTGCCAGGATCCAATGGATTGCACCTCTCTGCAATCCCGAATCTAGTAGACACCAAAAAAGCACAAACAGAAACACAGAGGGTCAGGACCCACTAGCTGAGCAGGCAGAAAAGTAAGTCAGTGTGGTGGCTGCCCGGAGGGCTAAGAGGCTAAGAAATGGCGTTGGGAGCCATTCACAAATCTCTCATGCCCCTTGACAAAAGACAAGAAGGAGGGAGAGAGAGAGAGAGATTTTCTTGCTTCAAAGGGAGCAGAAATCCTAGAAACTGAGACCCCAAATTATTCACGGGGCTCATTCGAATTCTATAAACCATCCCCGCTGCTGAGCGGCTACAAGTCTATGCCGAACGGAGCCTGCAGACTTTTAAAAACAGGGACGGCACGCCAGGACGCCATTCCCTTGCCTGATAGAACGATCATTCCACAGATTGAGATCCAAGACATGAAGGGAAAAAACACCAATCGCCTCCCTCCAAGGAACCGCGTCTGGAGAGCGTTTGAAGGTTGAGAGACAACTGAGAAACCATCGGATAACTGGATCACTAAAGAGCCACCACAAAGCTCAATAAACAATTCAGACAGTTAGCCCTTCCCTGGCAGGGGGGCCACGAAGGAGGAGGGACAAAAGCCTAATGTGAGATGCAGCCCAAAGCTTTGCCTCAGTGCTGTCCCCCAGACAAACCTGCTCTCGGGGCTCCTCAGCATCTTGGCTCACCATGTTTGGTGAGGAGAGGCCCAGTGGGCTTCGGCAGTCTGCAGAGCCGAGCCCTTCCTCTGCTCGGTCTCCGGTGAAGTGGGGAGAGGGACTGAATGGAGCTGGACTTGGCCTTGGCCGCTGCGTGCACCCACCGGCAGCTGCGCCGTGGCCAGAGGTGAGCTGGCACAGGCCCCGGCTTGGTGGGGGCTCCCGAGCCGTGTTTTCCTGATTCCAGGTCTGGCTAGAACACAGAGGAGGCTTGAAGCTTGCGCCAAGAGCAGGGCGGAGGCAGAGAAGAAGAGTCTGTAAACACCGCCCGAACATCTCCACAAAGGCAGCAGGAATCGAGGGAGAAAAACCAAACAGAGCCAGGACCAGGAATTCCAAAGGGAGAGAGTCGAGAGTGAGGGGAGATGGGCGGTGGGCCTTTCCCAGGCAGCCTGGGTCTCCAGGCGCGCGCGGCAGTTCTCACATTGGCTAGACTGCAACTTTCAACTTGACCTTGGCCTCCAGCCCTGTCTGACCCGTATGTAAAATAGCCCTCGAGTCGTCAGGCACTGGGGCCTTGAACCCTACCCTGCCTCTTTGTCACCGTGAGTTTTACTATGGAGGGAGGAAGGAAGGGGGGGAAGACAGGCCCCGGAAAGTAACACACAAATCTGGTCCCTCCAGAGGCCGGTGTTTGAGTCTGCAAATGGACAGACAGGGAGGAGGTAAACTGGGGGCAAATCAATATTTACCCGGAGCTAAGGCGGCAGGGAACGGACACACTGGTTGTGTGTATGGTGAAGGGGGCAGGAGGGGGGTCACAGAAGGTTTTATTGGGCAGCACTTACATGGGTCCGGGCAAACCTGGAGATCAGAATGGATAAAAGCCGGAGCCCAGCCTTCGTGGTCTGGACCTTGCAGGAAGACCGGGAGCCCTAGAGAGCGGAGAGGCGGGGTGGCAGCGGGATTGCAGGGGCTGGGAACACTCAAAGGGCCCCGAGTTTAGGGCCGAGTCTGCAAGCTGGTAATCAGATGGCAGGGCCAAGCCCGGCAGCTCACCAGCCCACCTGGGGTGGCAGGGATGGCAGCACTCTGACACCGCTGCCTTCCTGTGGAATGCGCCCACTTTCACTTTGAATGCACGATCCCCTTCTGGGCTTCTGACCAGATCACAGCCTCCACGGTCAGAAATGGAAGCATGTGCTTCCAAAGCGGCAGGACCCCCAGGATTCCTCGCCAAATTATGGCAGCTGCCCGGCTCTTCAAGCGCCAACTTACCACCAGCGGGCCCCTCGGAGAAGGGTCTGCTTCCCCAGGCACAGGGGGGAGGCTCCTCAGGCTGCTGCCGGGTGGAGGAGGACTGGGCACTCTGCATGAGGGGGACGGTGCTCTCAGTCCTACTTGGAGGGAAGGCATGAAGGGGCCCCCAAGAATCCCCTTTTCCTGTCCCAGCACAGAGGGAGATAAGGAGTGCCCAGGTCCCTGGCCAGTCAGCTACTGCCCAGGCTATAGGAAGTTCACTCAGGCCTCAGAAGGGGGATTCTTCTGAGCCCCAGTCAGCACCCCACCAGCCTGCTTCTCTGAAACTCCTTCCGGGACTGGCCAGCTTGGCTGGAGGCGTGGGAGCCCCGGAGAACGGCACACAAATGCCTCTCCCCACCTCCCAGGCTCTGGAGGAGGAAGAGTGGTAACTGGTGCCCAGTGAGGAACAGCCTGTGTACATACGTGTCTGTGTGTGTGATCAGGGTGCCCTTGGATGTGTGTCGGTGTGGGTGCGATGGGCCATTCTGAGTGTGAGCGCATGAGACTGCCCGCCGACACTGTGGACAAGGAAGGGGAAGGAGCTCCCAGTGGAATGTCCTGGGACTCGGGAGCCAGGCGCATCTGCCACCGCCCAGCCACTGTTTCCCTGGAAAGAGGGCCAAGTCGCCAAGCTCTCCCAGCGGAAAGCGCTGGTGTCCGCGGAGATACCTGAGAAGAAAACCGCCTGCGGCTCCAAGGGACGCCCTGCCTGGCCTGTGCCTCGCTGCCACCCTTCCCCGGGCCCCGCCGATTTACCTGGCCTGTCCCCACCGTCTCGGTCCCTGTCCCTTCCCCGTCTCTCACGCTCTGAGCCCCACTGAGAGGAGGGAAAGGAAGGGGAGCGGCGAGGAGACCGCCCTTCGCTCCCGATTGCGCCGCTCGCCCGCCCGCGGCGCCGGCCTCTCCCGGGGCGCACGGTGCGGGCCGCGGCGCTGGGGACCGGGCGGCGGCGCGGGGACCGCTGTGCGCCGCGCGGGGCCGGGCCGCGCCGCCCGCTTTGCATACGCCGGGGGCGGGGCGCGGGGGGCGGGCCAATCGGCGGCCGCCTGGCGCGACCCCGCGGGGCGCGATCCGCCCCCCTCGCTCGGGCCCCGGCCCCGCGCGGCGCGCTCTTCACTTCGTGGGGGCTTTTTAAAACAGCGCCACCGGGGTCTCCTCCATGCGGCTCGGGCTATGACAGCCTCCGTGCTCCTCCACCCCCGCTGGATCGAGCCCACCGTCATGTTCCTCTACGACAACGGCGGCGGCCTCGTGGCCGACGAGCTCAACAAGAACATGGAAGGGGCGGCGGCGGCGGCGGCGGCGGCCGCGGCGGCGGCGGCGGCCGGGGCCGGGGGCGGGGGCTTCCCCCACCCGGCAGCCGCGGCCGCGGGGGGCAACTTCTCGGTGGCGGCGGCGGCGGCGGCGGCGGCGGCCGCGGCGGCCAACCAGTGCCGCAACCTGATGGCGCACCCGGCGCCCCTGGCTCCCGGCGCCGCGGCCGCCTACAGCAGCGCGCCCGGCGAGGCGCCCCCGTCGGCCGCCGCCGCCGCCGCCGCCGCCGCCGCCGCTGCCGCCGCCGCCGCCGCCGCCTCGTCCTCGGGAGGCCCCGGGCCGGCGGGCCCGGCGGGCGCCGAGGCGGCCAAGCAGTGCAGCCCCTGCTCGGCGGCGGCGCAGAGCTCGTCGGGGCCCGCGGCGCTGCCCTACGGCTACTTCGGCAGCGGCTACTACCCGTGCGCCCGCATGGGCCCGCACCCCAACGCCATCAAGTCGTGCGCGCAGCCCGCCTCGGCCGCCGCCGCCGCCGCCTTCGCGGACAAGTACATGGACACGGCCGGCCCGGCGGCCGAGGAGTTCAGCTCCCGCGCCAAGGAGTTCGCCTTCTACCACCAGGGCTACGCGCCCGGGCCTTACCACCACCACCAGCCCGTGCCCGGCTACCTGGATATGCCCGTGGTGCCCGGCCTCGGGGGCCCTGGCGAGTCGCGCCACGAGCCCCTGGGGCTCCCCATGGAAAGCTACCAGCCCTGGGCGCTGCCCAACGGCTGGAACGGCCAAGTGTACTGCCCCAAAGAGCAGGCGCAGCCTCCCCACCTCTGGAAGTCTACTCTGCCCGGTAAATGGCGCCCTCCTCCCCCCGCCCCTTCTCAGCTCCGGTCCCCCGGCTCTGCTCCAGCTTCTCCTCCTCCTCCGCTTGCTCCCGGCCGCCCTGGGACCCCGTGGCGGCCTCCCCCTGGCCTGCCCTTGCGGCGGCGGCGCTGCACCCTGGGGAGCCCGACCCCGCTGCCTGGCGCTGCGCGCACTGCCCTGGAGCGGGGTGGCTCCTGGCTCTCCCTGGGCGAGGGAAGGGTGGAATCGCTTATTGGGGCCCAGGCTGGTTTCCTTCTCCCTCTGCGCCCCGCCCTCCCCAGCCCTTGACATGGACTTAAAAGCTGGGAAATTGACGTGGAAACGGTTTACTAAATTACCCGTATTCCGCCCTCTCAGAAAGGGGTTCGTTGTAGGAGCGTCAAGGGTTGGGGGTTGGAGAACAGAGAGAGGAGCTGAGGCATCGAACTGCTGTCCCCTTAGCCCAGGGCTAAGGTGTGGGCCTGTAGGCCGGGTGATCCAGGGAAGAACCCTGGCGCGCTGCTGGCCTAGCAGGGACGGTCATGGGAGTCCCGGGTAATTCCACTTCAGTGCAGAACCAACCCCTCTCCCCACTGGCCCTGCAGGTTTGGGCGAAAGGCTGGGTTTGCAGTGCGTGGCAAAGAGTAGCCCCGCGCTGCAAAGCGGAGCACCCGGATCAGGCTGTCCCTGGCCCGCGTTCCCTGTGTAACTTGCCTTCTCCCCTGTCTTGCAGACGTGGTCTCTCACCCCTCCGACGCCAGCTCCTACCGGCGGGGCAGGAAGAAGCGCGTCCCTTACACCAAGGTGCAATTAAAAGAACTCGAACGGGAATACGCTACAAACAAATTCATTACCAAGGACAAACGGAGGCGCATATCGGCCACCACGAATCTCTCCGAGCGGCAGGTTACAATCTGGTTCCAGAACAGGAGGGTCAAAGAGAAAAAAGTCATCAACAAACTGAAGACCACCAGTTAATGGATTAAAAAGTGGAGAAAGAAGGCGACTTGAAGAGATGCTTCGGAACTCGTGGCTTTACCCAGATCATGATTATAACGCTTAATAATAATTGAAGAATGGGAAAGAGAAAGAAAGACGCTGGCATTTCGCTTTCCTGATGGGGGGAATCTCTTTCTCCTTGGTGGAATCAACTATCTTAAAAGTGTAAGCAATGGTAAAGACTGCCAGTTCTTCCGCCAACCTCACCAGACCATTAAATGACAAACTCTGGTGTCACATGTCAACCCCCAAATATGCATTTTCAGATAAATTACGCATTTACTGAAATCTTGTAAGTATTTATGTGACCGTTATATTTTAGGACATTATGTTATATGGTAATAATCCGAAAACTGGTTACAAAAGCAGGAGGCTATTGTAAACATCTGCTCGTCCTTCAACATTGCCATCCCCTTTGCATGTTAAGTGACGGCTCAGGTAAATCTTAGTTGAAACCCTACCGTTGTTATATATTCTGCAGAATACGCCGTGTATAGATTTGGAGGGGGAAAGAGAAGGTACTGAGATGATGACTGTGGACTGTTTTCCATGAAGGGAGATAGGGAGAGAAAAGCTCTTCCAAGGAGCATGTGTGTTGGTAGTCGTGCAACCAGCTGAGCCTTTGAGGCGGTAAAGGAACCTGCGTTTGGAATGTCCTTCTGATAATAATCTTTTATTTGCTTATCACAAGCATATTTTGTAGCATTTCAACTATGTTTTCTGCCCTGATAGAATTTACTTTCCAAAGGATTTGACCTCATTTGAAAAAAATATTCAAAGCATCAGACAATTCACAGAATTCACTTAATGTCAGATCTTGAGATCTAAGAGCTGCCACCCGAACATGGCGGACTTGGGTTTTAAATATAATCTTTTTTTTTTTTTTCATTTAAATTGCTGTTTTCCCAATATTGACTAAAGATATTGCAGACAAAATGATTTTTCTTTTTTTGGAAAACTTGGAATGAAATCCATTACCCTGAAACATTTAGATGTTTACATGCTATATTGTGATCTGTTAAGGGATTCATAGTTTTTCCTTGTTTATTGTGTTATGAGACCGCATTAGAAAGTTTAGGAATTCATCCTCACAGCACACTTTTAATCAAGCAGTTATTTCAGTCAGCACAGTCATTTGTTCATAGTCACTATAAAATGCTATCTTGTAAATAAAGACATTCAGCACACTGTGAAAATGTATTTGTGCACCTGCTTTCCAAATATTTCAACTAAAAATAGTAATTACAAAAACCTTAGACCTGTAGGTAGTGCTATAGTGGTGTTAATTATGTTAATAAAGTAGTCACTGCCATTAAAACCTGAAGGAAATACTCATTATTTTCCCATGCTAAACGTGCACTGCACAGAAAGAAAAGGAGCAGGTTTGTCTTAGACAAACCAAGGACCATTCTTTTCTATTTAGCTTTAAACCCTTACAATTTTTTTAAGCAAAGGGAGAAACCCCTTATAACTAAAAACCTAAAATTTTGAAAAAGTGCTTCAAAAAGGTTAAAATGCCATGGATTCTGAAAAGGAGAAAAAAAAGGAAAGGAGGAAGAGATAGTGAAAATTCTCAGGCTCCCTGCAGAAAATGAAAACCAGTTGTTTAGTATCAGCGATACCAAGCTGTCGTATTTTAAAATCTGTTGGGTCTGCATGCGTCTGAGAGGGCAGGTTTTGATATTTGTTGAAATGGCAGGACTAGGAAAGGCCTTAAACCTTGACCTTGACAAAAAAAGACAATTTGTGACCTTGACTTTTGACAGCTCATGAATTGGCCTCAGCTGGATTAGTAGATCAAGGGCGCCACCTCGCGTTGACAAGCTTCCTTGTAATTCTTCAGCTTCAAGGGAATCAAAAGGTCTTACCTTCTTGACTCCTTCGAGATTTAGTGCTCATTTCTTTGGCTCCAGGTGGAGCAAATTTGAATATATGTAAGTTATACATGTGTCTGTACATATGTGAATATAGATCATATATGTGTCTACATATATGCCTACCAGTGCTTGTATTTATATATATACATATATATATATATTTGTAGAATCTGTACAGATATAGTATCATTAATTACTGATGGCCTGAGATGTTGTAATTTAAGGTAATTTCTAGAGTTGAGGTGCAAAATGTACTTTACATGATGAAGTTTTCTCTTCTTTCATGGTTAAGTTTAAGTTGTTTTCATAGTGACTTGCTCTGCGTCTGACTTCTGCAGATCTCCTTTAAAGCTGTACATTTTTCTTACAATCTAAGAGGTGTTCTTAAATAACCATTATTTTCCGGCCCTCACCCTCCAAGGTGGTCTACCATCCTAATTACAGCGATAGGGGAGACTGTGTGGCAAATAAAAAGGTTCAGATGCCTCACTGCCTCTAGAGTTCTAGAGTTACATTTCAGAAATTCAAAGAACCCCCCCCCCCCCTTAAGAGGTCAGTATGGAGAGCTTAAAGATCTCATGTCTACAAAATGACCTTAATATAGATGCAGAAGGAGAGTTATCCTGGCGAGCTCAGAGCTGGGTGCTGCCCCTGGGAGGCGGGAAATCTTATCCTGATGTTTGCAGAACCGTTGTTTGATTTGTGGAAGAAATATATACATTTAATATGAACAACCACCATCAAAACTATAATAATAATAAGTATTATATTTACTACTTCTGACCCCTAACAACACATCAGGGCTGTGGTTAGAGTAACAAATAACACATATGTGTGTTTATATATTTATTATACACCTAGGGTGACGTGTTTTTGTGGAATCCGTGCTATGCACATATGTACTGCAATGTTAGAGGAACCAGGAGCCTTCTGATGCAGAATTTTGAGTTGAGGTTAATTTTATTTTTGTGTCAGAGGAAAGCCATTGTGACCAGAAGAACTGTATCCATCGTTTTATGGGAAAATAATATTGGTTGATTTCAAACCCGATGGAAACCGGAAGACAGAGAGCTTGTTTATAGACGGAGAATTGTAGAATCTCTAAAGTTGTCCTCAAAAAACAGCATGGTCTTGAAACATACACGTGGAAAGGCCTTGTGGAGTGCAATCAAATGTTGCTGCCCTGGGGACTCTACTTGTGGGAACAAATGAAAAAAAAAAAAAAAAAAAGATGCTTCGGATCCACCTCCCCACGATTTGCGCCACAGCACGCCATTTCTGAACGAGCTGCCATCATTCCAAAGTAACAGCTTTCGCCCCAAACGTTTAAAGCGGTGGGAAATCCCCCTCACGACTGGATCGAACTGCGTGTTTACAAATAGCTCCAAAGGGGGCTCCCCTGTTGACGGGGGATATTTTTCTTTAGATGTAAGAAATATTAGAGCCTCCGGCCTAGGATTGAGGCCAACTGCCGCCCTGCAGCGGGATACCGCCCCTTTCCCAAGCCATCGCCACTGCAGGAACTCTGGGTAAAGTAGTCATTCTCCCTCTCTCTCTTTCTCTCTCTCTCTCTCTCTCTCTCTCTCTCTCTCTCTCTCTCTCTCTCTCTCTCTCTCTCTCTCTCTCTGCAGTTTTTGAAACTAATGACAGAAGATATTTCAGAGTTTGTTTTTTTATTTACCCCCTCCTCGTTCTACAATGGTTGTTGATAATGTTGATCTTCCCTAATTCCCCTCTTGTTTAAAATTCCCCTGGATCTACCAGACAATCTGAAGCCTGGATGATGATGGTTCCCTAATGCCCCCAAATCAACTAGTCTAAACCTTTAGAAAAAAATAAGACACCCAGGAGGATTCCAGCCACCATACAGGGAGAATAACGCCAGAGCCCGGGAGAGTGCTGTGGAAGAGCTGATTTGTGTATGCTTCTTTAGAGGGAAACTTTCGGAACAAGACATTGTAAATATGCAAACGCCCAGCCGCCGTTTTCATTTATTGAGCTAGCAAAGATTTTAAATCCTGCAATGGCCTGTCATGTTGCCATTAAAATTTGTTCGCATGGAATTCAGGGGGTAAAAAAAAAAAAAAAACTCCCCCTTTTCCCATCTGCTCTTAATGCTGTCAAATTTATTAAGGTGTTTTAAGTGGATGATTGTAAAATGTCACTTTTCATTTCACTACTATTAATGCCTGATGCAGAGCTGAAGCCATGCATTTAAACTGTGCGGTGCTTTTTTTGTTTTGTTTTTTTTCTTCTTCCTGGAAAAAATGTAAGAAAGAATTTTAAAGACATTTTTAACCTAGTTGAAATGTTTTCTTAAACATTACGGGGGCAGAGCAATGCAGCCCAGGGCGATAGTGCGTGTGCGGGTAATGACAGCGATTTCGCCGCTTACACCCCGCTGAGCGTGTCTCTGAAGACGCCGCCTCTCCCGTCCTCGCTGCGGATTCTTGAGCCTCGTCGAGGCTCAGGACGGGGCTGCCCCGGGGCTGCCCAGCGGCGGCCTCGGTGGGCTCGGCGGCGCCCCTTCGGATTGGGGCCTCTATGAGGAGCCGGCGGGGCCGCTGATTTACGCGCCTTCCTTTAAGGCTGATCGAATGCGTGTCTGCAGCCCGAGACCCAAGAAGCAGAGGGACCGCAGGAGTCGCTCCCATGCCGTTTTCCCGCTGCGAAGAGGCGGCGGCGTCCTGAGGCCTGCGGGGCCTTGGCCTGGGCTTCGGGACAGGCGCACGACAATCCGTTTTCCCCGGCGGGGCCTTCGGGCCAATGACAGGCGACTTCATTCTTTCTGAAAACAGCCCCTTTTCTGAACAAAACACCTCCTTTTCTGCGCGAAGGCCGAAACGCCGTGTGCTCTTTGGAATTGGATTTGCACGGGGAGCACAGACGCCGGCACAGAAAGCCGTCTGGGTTCCTGCAGGCAGGGCCTGCCACCGGCGATTCCATGTCTGCGCGGCCCCCGGGGCCGCCGGAGAGCGGGGTCCCCGGCACAAGGTCTGACAAAGCACCGAGGCGGCCAGGCCTCCGCGGCTGTGCGGGCGCGGGGCTCCCGGTGCGGGGAGGGCCGCCGCGGGCTCCGGGCGCGCCCCTCGGGGTGGGGTCCGGGCTCAGACCCCTCCACGCCGGTCCCGAACCCTCTGCTCAAAATGGAGGCGCACAGCCTGCAGAGCCGGCCTCGCTGCGGGCTCGCGGGCGCGCCCAGGGCCGCAGGCCGAGGTCCAGGCCGGGACCCCCGGACCCGCGCCCACAGGCCCGGGGGCGCGGGGCACCGCGTGGGGCGCCGCCCGCGGCCGCAGGCTGACGTCACCGCCGCCGATCGCCCTCCCGGGCCTCCCGGGCCTCCCCGGCGGGATGTCGGGAGGAGCCCAGTGGAACGAATGTTTGTGCGGTGCCCCTTCCCCGCCCCGCCCTGCCCTCCCCGAGAGAGAAACCGGGTATTTAATCCCCGGCCCCCACGCCGGCAGCGCGGGAGGCGGTTTGCTGGGAAATGAAACCTGACAGCAGCATTTTCTCTAAAAGGGGTTCGGAGCCGGACTGAGCAGAAACCGTGTTTTTCTCCACCAAACTCTTCCGTTTTCCCAGGAGCCGCGGGGTGGGGTGCGATCCGAGGGAGCGAGGGCGAGCGGGGCGCGCAGGGCCACGTCGTGGACCCATCCGAGCAGCCAGGCCCGGCGCCCGGGAGCCACGGGCTCCCTCCGCCTGGGCCCGAGGCAGCCCGCGCCCCGCGCCCTCCGCCCTCCGCCCGGCCCGGCGCCGCCGCCGCCCGAGGCCAGGACCCCGCGGGCAACCTTGGCAGGACCGGGGCGGTTGGCACTCGCCTATCCCTGGCGCTGGCTGAGGGCGGGTGGGTCCGGCGGGAGAAGGGGCGCTGGGCAGGGCCTGGGGCTGCCTGGCTTTTCCTGGGAGCCTTTTGGCCTCGGGGCTGGGGAAGGAGGCGGTGCGGGCTCTGCTGGGGGCTTTGTTCAGACGGAGGGTCTGCGGAGCCTGCAGGGAATGGAGGGGGGATGGGGTGAGCCTTGCTGCAGGGGAGGATTGTCCGGGCTGCTATTGGGTGGGAGAAGCTGATCCCCCCTCCCTTCAGCTCAAAGAGCGACCTCCCTGTCAGCCGCAAAGGTCAAGTCCTCTGCGCCATCGCCGCCGCCTCCACGGTCAGGGCCGCTGGCAGGGCCGCTGGCGGCTGCTGGCGGCCCAATGAAGGCGCCCGATGCCGGAGGCAAGCAGGTTCTGATGGCCTGGGCTCCTGGACTGGGGGCAGGGGTTCTTCCTCTCCATCCCCCAGCCCGCCTGGGCCATGCCACATGGAGTCCTGGAAGAGCAGGGTCCAGGAGGCCCAGCCCTGGTGAGAGGCAGCAGCGCCTGTAAGGTGGAGAGTCTGAACATGGCTGGATCCGGGTTCCAAGTCCTTAACTTCCGTAGAAACAAGGGACCGGTAAGGCCATCAGGTCAGCTGGGCCCAGGACAGGATGTGGGAGCAAGGACCCTGCTGGGAGCCTTTCTTGAGGTCCCTGAGTCCAGGCTGGCAACCCCAATGCATGGCAGGTTTCTGGGGAGACCTCTGAGGCCCTTCCTCTTCTGCCTAAAATCTGGGCCAAGAAGTGAGGTGCATCTCGGGGCCCCAAGACCCCCTCACTGTGTGTTTGAGGGGTGTGAGCCCCTCCCTTCTGGAAGCAGGTCACCACAGCGGTCAGCAAACATTGTGAGTGTGGTCTACCGCTGAGCTTGTTGCTGCAGGTGAATCCATGTCTTTTTGTCCCCACAGAAAAGAGAAAAGCGAAAAGCTGGGTTTTCCCTCTAGGGCTGCTTGGTGGAGCAGGGCTGGGGGGGACACTAGCCACCAGAGAGGTTGCCTGTGGATGGGACCATCGCAGAGCTGCCTTGCGGCCCTGTGGTGGAGGCTCAGGGCAGGGCTGGCCTGGACTGGGGCTCGCCCTTCTCAGGTCTGGAATATGAGCCATGAATTGCGGCTGAGTAGACACAGAAGAGCTTGAGAAGATGTCTCCTGTGGGCTATGACTGTGGGGACCAAGACTCCAGGCCCAGAGCTGACCTTCTGGTCGGGCCGCCCTCGTCTGTCCCTTTATTGCAGACACAATCGCTGGGGAAACCCGTCTGAGCCGAAGCTGCTGGGGGGGGGGGGGAGAGAACGGAAGGCACATGCTGAGAGCAGGGGCTTTGCCCGTCAAACCCCCCCCCCCTCCATCCCATTTGTCCCCACTTGGCAGGGGCATCTCTCTAAGGAGTACACAGCAGTAAAAAGAATAGTTCTTCTCAAAGTAGCCCTCTTCCTCCCTTCAGTTCGGATCCACTAAACTAAACAATAACCAGATTGTTTGGGTGGCTGAGGCTTTACGTTGAGCCCTATGTCCCTCCCCTTAGAGGCCAGGAGAAGGTCTTCAGATATTTAGGCTCCTCTGATGATTGAACCTGTAGATTAGAACCAACCAAAAGGTCAAGTTCAAGGCATTACCTGTCCCTGTTCTTTTGGGAAGGGCAGAGGAGCTTGTGGACAGGTGGGGTGCCTCGCCAAGCCAGAGGGATAAATTAACCCCTGCCTCCACCTAGCAATGGCAGAAGGGGGTCTCCGGATATTTCATCTCAGCCTCAGGGCCCGCCTCCGGACAGCACCTGGAAATGATAGATTGGCTCTGATCTGCCAATTAACCAGCAGCCCATTTCCCAGGCTCACCAAGGAGGACAGACACACCTCCGGCCAGGATACCTCCCCCTGGGAAGGAGAGAGCTCTTGGTAGAGGCTGGGCCTCCTCCAAACCCTCCCCCGAAGAATACTACGGCTATTCCACCCTGGGCCCTTCAGCCGGCTTTGCACCTGAGTGCAGGACGGTCATCGGGGTTGAAACGGGGTCTTCGGTGTGGCTTTCTAGAAAAAGGTGTGGCATTTAAGCATAGAGGAAGGTAGAGGCTCAGACCAGCAAGAAGGAGAAAAAAATAGGTGCCGCCCATAAGCGATCCACAGATAAATGACTGCAGATCTTTGGGAGAGAGTTTGTCTGTCAAGTGGGCCTGACTCCTCCCAGGCCGGCTGTCATCCAGGATTGCTGGGCCTAGAGAAGCAGTAGCTGGGTCCTAAGAAGAGCAGGCAGAAGAGCGGGTAAGAAAGTGGGGGGAGAGTGAAAGGACGAGGCAGGGCCTCGGGATGGAGCGTTCAGAAGAAGGTGAGAAATCCAGTCCGGATAGATCTCTATGGAGGAGGCCTGAAATGAGGAAGAATCTGGAACCTAACCATCCCCTTCTCCGTGCTTGAGTATTGGGTGCCCTCCAGTGGCACATCGCTCTTGCTCAGAAGAGGCAGGAAACTGAAGAAGGCGAATCGGGGCTGGAAAGAGGCAGGGCGGGAGACCGGAGAGCAGTAGGTGCAAAGAGACTCCACTGGCTAGGGTGGGGGTGGGGTGGGCGCATCCTGGGATTGGCATTCACGCCATGGACTAGGCACAGAGCAGTCAAAGGGTTGTAAGTGCAGGCACTAGGGACTCTGGCTTCTCAGGTTTGGAGGACAATGAGTCCCTGCTGGTGCCCAAGCCAGTCCCAAGAAAGAGGAAGGCAGCCTGGCAGCAGAGCCGGTTGGGGCTGGGAACACTGGCATGCGGAGGTGCTCCGGCCCCCAGCTCCGTCCTCCTTAGGAGTGAGCGGGTGGTAAGCCACCTATCAAGTGACAGCCTTTGGGGCTCCCATCCCTGGAATGATGGCTGGGCATACCCCCAGCACAACCGTCCCAGCGAAAAGGCCTCACGTTGTCGCGGTGCGCACTGACCGCGCCAAGGCTGCCCATCCCAGGCACCGCCAACCACCGCCCGCCAGCTGCTGCCCAGACGCATCGGCTGCAAGAAGAAGCGGAGGCGCAGAGCTGGGCAGAGGCACCTGGGCACACTTTATTCCGGCGTCCCGCCCGGGGAGGCGCGTGGAGCCGGCGCAGGAATTCCCCCATCGCCGCCGGGGCGCACGCAGCCCGCCGCAGGAGGATCCGGAGGCGCTGCAGGACCCCCCGCGACCCCCTCCGACATTAGGCCCGAATCAAAGGAGCCTCGGAAAGGGCCGGTCTGCTTTGCTGCGCAAACCTCCTCGTTAGCCATTTCCGCCCGGCGAGGTTGGCGCGGGCGCCGCCTGCTCCTCTCCGGTGGCCATCTCTCTCCAACGCTGCGCGGAGCGAGCGGGCCAGCCCTGCCAGGGCTGCCTAGACCTTGAAGTTTGGAAAAACAACAAGAAGAGAAGTTTGGAAAAAACAAGAGATTGAAACCGGCTCCCTCCCTTCTCCGCAGACACACACGCACCGTCAGTCCGCCGCCACTTCCTGCCTTTGTTTTTCTTCCTCCAAAACATTTTTGGCCTCTCGCAGGGGCGGCCGCGGGCTCCGGGTTGGCGCTAAAAGGAAATACGCGCGGAGGGCTGTTTTCTGGAGATGGCTCCGCGCTGTGGAGCTCTGGGAAAAGAGCAGCTCATGGGAAAGCAGGCTCCGGGGCCAATGCTACAGCTCTGCCCGGCTCAGCCTTTTCCAGAAATGCAGCTCGGACTTGGACTTCTAGGGCGGCCTTGGCCCTGCGAGGTCTTCCCCGGAGTCGGTGGGCTCAGCTCTGCTGTCGGGCCTCCTACAAAGCGGAAGAGTCAATTAGGCTGAAAGCAAAGTCCAAACCCCGCAGCTCTGCCGCGCCTGCTTCCCCAAGATTTGGCCTGATCCTCAGAGCTGCGCCCACCCTCACCCACCACCCACCACTCACCGCCCACCCACCCACCCACCACACAGTCAGGAGGGGCAGGAGCTGGGAACAGTGCACAGCGTTGGGGATCTGAGAGCCCATTCTGGCCCTGCTGGGGAGACAAGCATTCACCGCTCCACGCATTCTCCCTCCTCCTGGCACCAAAGCCGTTGCCCTCATCCTCTTCCAGGCAGTGCCCCTACCTACCCCCCTCCAGGCGGCAAGTTCCACCGGCACCCGCTTCTGTCCAGCCCTCCCATTGCCCCGCCGGCCACTCAGGGAGCACCTCCCCTGCTCCAGCCTTTCCCGGGGAATTCGCCTTTGTCTCCTGTAGACACCCATGGGAGCCAGACCTGCGGCCCCTCCCGGCTGGGCTCTCAAGGACACCGGAGGCATTGGCTATATGGAACCGGGCACAGCCCCATACCCACCTTCCTGTGGGGACCCCTACTCCCTGGCACCAAGGGAGACCGAGCTCATTAGGAGAGGGGCTGCAGGCAGCTGGGGGAGGCAGCCTGGCGTCCCCGCTGGCGGCCACCGCAGCCGGTCTGCTCAGGCACAAGCTGAAGTTGACTGCCAAAACTGCTATAAAACCCCAGGTCTGTCTACAACTGTTTTCGGTTCCCCTAGGCGCCCCCAGGTTCAATTATAGTCTTAAAAGCCCTAATGCAAGTGCAAGAATTTGTTTGCCTTCACCCAGGGGCGGGGCAAGCCCCGCAATGGTGGCGCCTTTGTTATGGCACCGGCACTGAAACCCCTCATGCATTCCTTTTGTTCCAGGGCGGGGGTGGGGGCTGCGGGGACTGGGTGGGCTGTGGGGAGAGAGTTTGGGAGAGCCAACATCTAGCCAGAGAATGGCTCAAATCCTGCTACTCCAAAACCTCTCCTCTCCCTTTCACCTGAGACCTCCAGGAAAGAGATGCTGTGGATAAATAAATATTTTGCCTTGTTGGTCACGCTGGAAATCAAAGTGGTTTTTTTTTTTTTTTTTTTTGGTGTGTTTCTCCCCCCCCCCCTTTTTTTTCTTCTGCTGTCGAGCAATCCCATAATTGTGATCCCCAGCTTGAAGAGGTCTCAAGCTGCCTCTCCCCACTAACCTTCCTTCCCACCAGCCCTTCTCCCTCACACCGTTCCTGCCCTCTGCACAAGCCACCATGCACAGTTATGTCAAGCTTAAGGCGAACAAATAATTTTGAGTTCGGTCCTCAGAGATTCGAGGAGCATGAACGTTCTCGCAGCAAACCCGGAATAAAGAGTTCATTAAACCAACGTGTCTGCGAAGTATGATTTGTGATAAGCTCCCCTTGTAAAAGAGGGGAGTAGGAGCCACATAAACATTAATGCTAATAAATTAGTTTACTCCACTGCAGAGTAATTACTCGATATTATTGGTATTTACAGCAGACATTCAAATGCAACTGTCGAGTCATCCTTTGGAGAAAATACATAATGAGAATATTCCTTTTCCAGGGCAATGCATGATTAGATTTGTTATTGAGTCAGTTACAGTCAGCTCAGCAATAAATAAATGAATCGATGTTGACACTTAAATACCAAAGATCTTAGAGTTTATACGCTAAATCTCCCCATGATGTATAAATTCCTTCAGCTATTTCCTGGATAGGGAAAGGGAAAAGGTTATTCTTTTTAATTTTCGACTTTGCTACAGCGACATCCAGCTTCCCCCAAGGAGATAGGTGTGGGGAGGCCTCGGGGCGGGCCCTCCCCGCTCCGGCCGCGCCTGGCGAATCTACTTCTCCTTTCGATTCTCCTGAGCACTATTCCCTCAGCCCTCAGGATGGGGATCCTTTTCCACCATCAATGTTTTTCCTTTGCTCTTCCCCAGAAAACCAGGCTCACACCAGCCCCTAGGGCCTCGGTCTCCTGTCTTTACCTTACACCCAGCCTTTCCGGGCGGCCTGTCCCCCCAGGTGCTGCGGGTTTGGGGGAGCCCAGCTCTCTACTCTGCCTTGTGTTCCTTCAGTGGGATGAGGAGCGGGAAAGCGCAGAACCTTCCGAGTTTCTGCCCCGCACATCCCTGGCTCTCACGCTTTGCGCGGCCGGAGAGGAGGCATGCTAGTCCTTCCTCAGCCGCTCCTGGCCCTCGCTCCCTCTCCACTGGCCCCACAGCCCTGGGGTTCACTCGCAGCCGGGCGGGCCCCCCAAGTGCAGCGTGCCTAGGGGGAGGCCCCGGATGTCACCGCCTCTGAAGCAGCTCAGCTCGCCTCTGCCGCCGCTCCCGGCCCGCAGCTCGAGGAGACCCGGCGGCGAGCAGCCCCCCCCGCGCCCCGGCCCCGCCGAGCGCCTCGGAACCCCGAACCCCGGCGGCGGCGGGGAGGAGGGGGCTTCCCCAAGGCCAGGGGCTGGGTGGGGAGGCCGGCCCCGAGGGCGAAGGGGAGGTGGATCCCGGGTGAGACGAAGGCCCTCCGGGACCTTGCGGATCCCGGCAAACCGCGAGGGAAGCCGCCCCGGTCGTTGGCGGTTTCGGGACGGAAGGCACTAAAGCGGTTCGGAAGTGACCATGAATGCGAGCGTGTAATCAAGGCACCGTGCAAATCGGGCGAGCCACGGGGCAGGCACATCCACGGCCGCCTCCTGCCCTGGCCCCGGAGGGGTCCGGCGGGGGTCGGCGGCAGCCGGGGCTCCCAGAGCGAGCCCGTGGGAGGGAGGGAGAGAGGGAGGGAGGGAGGGGGCGCGGACGCGGTCCTCCCCGCGGGCTGGCTCCACGAGCGCGCGCGGGACACGCAGCGGCGAGCTCCCCCGCCCGGCCACCCCCCCCCCGCCCGGGGCGCCCCTCGCCGGGAGAGGCGGGGGCAGGAGTGGGGCTCGCTCACCGCCCGGGGCGCCGGAGGCCGGGCCGCGCCGCCGCGCGCCGGGAGGCCCCCAGCCAACATGAGTTACACCGGCGATTACGTGCTTTCGGTGAGAACACCGAGTGACGATCTGTTGCTTCCCCTGAGGTAGCTACAAAGAAAGGAAACCGGGGAGGGAGGGAGGGCAGAGGGGTGGGGGGGAAAGGAAAGAGAGAGAGAGAGAGAGAGAGAGAGAGAGAGAGAGAGAGAGAGAGAGAGAGAGAGGAAAAAAAAAAAAAGGCCCGGACCAGCCCGCAGCTTGTCAATTTCACCATCGGGTCACATGACCAGCACCTCCCTGCTAAGGATGGGGATAGATTTCCACGTCAGCTTTACGTCTCCAAATTTCTACTTCGCGGATCCGCTTCAAAGAGGCAGCTGCCGTGGCGGAGCATCATGTTAAGCTCGGCTCCCGCGGCGGCGGAGAGCCCGAGGTAGCCCGGCCCCCGTGATGGATTTTGATGAGCGTGGTCCCTGCTCCTCTAACATGTACTTGCCAAGTTGTACTTACTACGTCTCGGGCCCAGACTTCTCCAGCCTCCCTTCCTTCCTGCCCCAGGCCCCGTCTTCGCGCCCCATGACATACTCCTACTCGTCCAACCTGCCCCCGGTCCAACCCGTGCGCGAGGTGACCTTCCGCGAGTACGCCGCCATCGAGCCCGCCGCCAAGTGGCACCCGCGCGGCAACCTGGCGCCCTGCTACGCGGCGGCCGAGGAGCTGGCGCACCGCGACTGCCTGCAGGCGCCCGGCGCGGCCGTGCCCGGCGAGCTGGCCAAGGGCGCCGGCGTCTACCACCACCCCGCCCCCGCCGTCTCCTCCGGCTTCTATAGCGCCGTGGGCCGCAACGGCGTCCTGCCGCAGGCGTTCGACCAGTTTTTCGAGACGGCCTACGGCTCCGCGGACAACCTCGCCTCCGCCGACTTCCCCGGCAGCGGCGACAAGAGCGCCGAGAAGGGGCCCCCGGCGGCCGCGGCGGCCACGGGCGCGCCGGCAACTTCAAGTTCGGACGGCGGCGGCGGCGGCGGCGGCGGCTGCCGGGAGGCGGCGGCGGCGGAGGAGAAGGAGCGGCGGCGGCGCCCGGAGAGCAGCAGCAGCCCCGAGTCGTCCTCCGGCCACACTGAGGACAAGGCCGGCGGCCCCGGTGCGTATAAAGGCGGCGGGCCCCGCGCCGGCGGAGCGCGGAGCCGGGCGCGGGCGCAGCGCCGCTGTTAAATTTTTATATGCTGTTTTATAAGCGTATAAGGTTTATGAAGGGCCTGTAGGTTTCCCCCCCCAACGAAACTTCGTTATAAAAGGCGGGATCACGTGGCGAGTGCTGAAATTGGCCGTGAAAGACCCACCGGCCGGGGCCTGGCTGCGGAAAAAGCACCCTCCCTTTTTCCTCCTTTTCCCCCTTTTTCCCTCTCTCCCCCGGCCCCGCGCCCGGGCCGGGCGGGCAGCGCGGGGCGGCGGGGGCGGCGGCCGGAGGCGGGCGCCTGGGGCTCCCCCTGCGAGGCTGCCGGGCCGGAGCGGGGAGCCGGGGCTTTTTATAAAAACCATGTGTTGCCGGCTCTCCGGGGCCGGCGGCGTTCAAAGGCAGCGGCGCTTAACGATGGCGCGGGAAGCGTGTTTGCACAGACAAAATAGCCCGCTTAGCTCGAGCAATATATTAACGGGAGCAAATTAACCCAACGCTGGCCTTTTTGTCCAGAGGAAGCCATGTTCCCCCTGCGCGGGGGCAATTACGGGCCGCCTCCTGTCCGGCCGCTTGTTACTCACGGTGGCTGCTGGGTCTGTCAAAAGCGGGGCTTTTTCTTTAGGTCTCAGGGAGGTTCACCCAAAGGGGGGCTGCGGGAGGAGCTGGGGGAACCCCTCTTCCCTGCACCCCATCTAAACCAGCAGCCCTGCCCTGGGGGACCAGGGTGGCTGTGTGGCCTTGGGCCCTGAGAAGCCCAGGCTAGGGGCTCCCTCCGCCTTGTCCTGACCTCGGGAGCCAGGAGGCTGGCCCGGGAGCCAGCTCCGGCTGACAAAGAGCCGGCAGCCGCCCCAGATGGTAAGGAGGGGGAGGCCTGGGGCTGGGGCTGCCTTCAGAGCCCTCTCCCCACCGGCTCCCAGGTGCTGGAAGGTGCGATGTCCTCGGGTGGCTGTTTGTTTAGTCTGGCCCGGCTGGAGGCAGCCGGCGACCCCCACTCGGCTGCCTTGAAAGCGGCCTCCCGGCTCCAACCTGCCTGTTGCTGCTGCGCGGAGCCCCGCGCTCTGCTCCGGAGGCAGCCCCAGGCCTCCCTGGGGGCCCATCTAGGGAGCTGGCTTTTATCTGGGGCCGAGCCTCCGCCTGCACGCGGTCCCCAGACCACAGGGGAAGCCTGAGGCAGGGGCCTGGGCAGGGCTTCCAGTCCCTGGGGCTCTGGGTGGGCTGCAGCCCCCGCACCTGGCTCACTCCTGCCGCTTCCTCGCCCACAGGTGGCCAGCGCACCCGGAAAAAGCGCTGCCCCTACACCAAGTACCAGATCCGGGAGCTGGAGCGGGAGTTCTTCTTCAGCGTGTACATCAACAAGGAGAAGCGGCTGCAGCTCTCCCGCATGCTCAACCTCACCGACCGGCAGGTCAAAATCTGGTTTCAGAACAGAAGGATGAAGGAAAAAAAAATTAACAGAGACCGCTTACAGTATTACTCGGCCAACCCTCTCCTCTAAGGCTCCCGCCAGCTGGAATCAGGGTGGGGGGCTGCGCACACGGGAGATTATACGCAGATTTTGCCCTTGACAAGGTCAAGGCACAGCGCGGTGACTTTGGCAGAGAGGAGGTGTGCCAGAGAGGGGCCACTCGGGGAGACAGCCTCCAGGGAGGCTGCCTGGTACTCTCTTGGGCACCCGTGGCTAAGATCCCTAACAATTGGATTCAGAGGATTGTGTGCATCCACCAGCATGAATGGTGTGGGACCCCTGGTGGTTCATTCATGGAGACTGCGAGCTTCAGGCTGGGTGTGGTCTCCGCCAGGCCCCCCGGGGGACCGACCCCCACCCAGGACCCTCCACTTGGAGCCTGCCACCCCCCGGAGTCCCTGCATCCAGAAGCCAGTCCATCTCCCAAACCAGTTCAGCTTGGGGACAGGAGCAGGAGGAGAGGGGTGGGGGGATCCTAGATGCCCAGCATGGGGCTGCTCTCCAGAGCCAACGTGAAAGGTGACCGGACTAAGGTGGCTGTGAGGTGGGAGAGGGCTGCTGATTCTTGAGAGAAAACAAAAAACAAAACCCTAGGATTCCAGTGGCCCTCCACTCCTCCCAGCCCCTCACCGCACTGTCTCAACCCTGAGCTTCTTAGCAGTTGCCTCCTGCAGCCCACCCAGTCTTCCTTGGCCAGGAGGGTCTTCGTCCTGGCCTCTGCTCAGGCAGGTTGAAGCCTGCGTGCAGAGGATCCTAGTCCCCAAGGTGGGAGACATCACAAAGCCAAGAGGCTGTGCTGGGCGCTGGCCCCTCCATCTCTGCAGGAAAGGCCGGAGTGCAGCAGCCTGGCACAGCTTCTGCCACACATAACAGAAGCTCGGATTTGCTCAGCAGAGGAGCCACCCGGCCAGCCATCCTCAGCTTTGAGGGGCGCAAGTCCCCCAAAACACCCGGTTCCAGCGCCACCCTCTCACCCTTCGAGGCCCCGGAACTGAGCTTGGAAGCTTCCAGCAACCTTCCAAGGGCGGAAGAGTGATTTGGAATTATTTTAAAAGATAAATATTATATTATATATGTATATTTCCCTGCAGGAACCAAAGCAAATTTTAAAAGATGCAATGTAGAGAGAGAGAGAGAAAAAAGATGATGAAGATATTTAAAGGCTCTATCTGTTTACAGTGTCCCACGGTTAAACTCACTCACTGCTAAGAGTATTTGAATGTACGCTTCATACAGGGATGGTGTTCAAAAGACTTGTAAATAAAGAAACCATAACCTATTTTGTTTGAATACTTTTTTATTTTATTTTTATTTTTTGCCATTACTTGATTTCCTCCGGGGTGGAGGAGGGGGCAGGAAGGGTGTTGGGAATGGGCTTCTTAATTTCTTGCAATATTTTGAGAGCTTGGGAGGGGGTCTTCTCGCGGGTGTTTCTGCCCCACAGTGTCGGGAGACCTCAGCTCAGAAAGCCGGCCCCAGCCCATTGAACCTGCGTCCGTCCCTCTGCTAAGAAGCAGCGTCTGGTGGCTCTGCTTGCAAAGGAGGATTGGCCTGTCCTCTGTTCTCGCCCACCCATCGTGGATGTCGCAGCATGCATACAAGCCACAGGGCATAAGGAAAATAAAGGCTGTGGAAACTTGAGCATTGGGTCCTGGTGTGACATTTCTCTCCTGGCTCATCTTTTACTGCCAAATGTCTACCCCATCCCAACCATCCCCCCCACACACACATACACACACACCAGAAAGGGCAAGTGACTAGGCCCCTGAAGATCTGGGGGGTGACTCAGGATTTAATTCCACTCGGGAAGCCAAGGTGTCTGGCCAGGCCCTTTGAGGAAATGGGGTCCCAGGAATAGGGCACCTCAGGACTTGGAATATGGGGTTTCATGCTCTGGCTGCCCAGCCCTGGGAGAAAACCTGGGGCCTTACGCAGCGGTCAATGGATCTGATCCAGGCTGGGCTCCCTCACCTCGGGACCCGCAGGACTGACATGGACCCACTGTAGGGGGTCCTGGGGACCCCCTCAGCAGGAGGGAGAAGAGTCTGGGTACAAAGACAGGGCAGACTCTCAGAGTCTGCAAGGGTGCTCTCTCCCCAGCTCCCAGCCGCCATGGGCTTTCCCTTTGGGGAAAGAAAGATGCCGCTTCTTCGCTTCTTCTTTGTTTCCTGCCTTTGAACTTCTGCCTTAAAATTGGACATCACCATCACCATAACCTTGAGGGGCAGGGTGGAGAGGCCAGAGCCTTTTGTTGCCACCCCACCCCCACCCCACCCTCTCCCCAGCCACCCAGGCAGGGCCAGGGCGGCAGACAGGATCCAATTCCGAGCGGGGCCCCAGGCACCAGGCCCCGCTTTGTTTATCTGTTTGTGTGTTTGTCTAGCTGGCGCGACTGGGAACCTCGAGCTCAAAGGGGAGTGGGACAGACCCCGGAGATGGATGTCTAGGCTGATGGACAGACACAGAGGTGAACAGGGACTCTCCAGAGGGGCAGGGAGGGGGCGGGCAGGGAAGCCCGAGGTTTAAGGAAAGACTTCCTTTGGGACGGTTAAAGATTAACCAGAGTCTCCCAAGTTGCTAGAGAGAGTCTAGCCAGAAAGGCTGTTGGCGGGCGGGCGGCGAGCGGGCGAGGGTTTGATTTCTGAGCCCTATAAAAGCCCATCCTCCGATGGCTGTGACAATGTGGTCGTAAACCCGTCCGGGGCCGGCCAATTTGCATATTTGGAATGCGCCGCTATAAACCCGGCTGGGGTTTTGCAGCGATTTCTGAGATGTAAAAGCGAGATCCCTTTCGCAGCGGGGCTGGGCACATTCCCCCGCCGCCTCTGCCTGGAGCCTGCTTCCCTCGCCCGGCTCCGGTCAGAGGGAGTTCGGGCCCGGCGTAAGGCGCGCAGCCGCCACGAGATGGCGCCCTTCCGATCAATGTCAAAGCCGCCGCCGGGGAGCCGGGAACCCCAGCGCGGTTCTTGGCCTTTGTTCGCTTCTGATACCAAGAGCTGCACGTTAGGTTATTTCACTTGTCCCCGCTCCCTTTCATCTCAAAAAAGGGGGTGCTCACCTGCAAGATGTGGTCGGTGCGGTCATGGAAAGCGACGCGCCTTCGCTAGGCCTCGCGGGCGCTCCTGGCGCGGAGGAGCCGGCGGTCCCCGGCGGGGATCTCTTCGGAAATGTGTCCAGGTAAGAGGCCCCGAGGTTAGCGATTTCAAACGGGCCTGGGCGGGAGCAGGGGGGCGGCCAAGGTTGGGGCAGGGCCGGGAGAGCGGCTGGGTTCGGGCGCTCCGGGGTGGCGCTCTAGGTGGCCAGCCCACCTCCCTCCGCACAGCTCCCTGGGGCTGCAAAGCGGAGGCCTCCGTGGAAAAGTTGACGATTTCAGCCCCTTTTGAGCCTCTACAAACCCAAGGCAATCCTTCCGTTTTGTAAAAGTATTCGGGATGGATCAATCGGCCAGGGAGGGAGAGGGGGCATCTAAGAGAAAGAGTCTGGGCCGTGCTGGAATAGGGGGTTGTGTTGGGGGGAAAGAGATGGCGGGACTGGGAAAGACAGAAAGTTTCCCCTCCAAACAATGAGGTGGTCAGCAGCCGTGGCCGCTGGGGCGGGCTTATTCCCTGGGGAAGACTGCGGCGAGGTGCGGTCTCTAGGTCTGCCTAGCAGCCAGGGGAAACCTTTGTTCCCCAAAAAGGCCAGGTCAGAAAAGTGGCATTTGATTTTCCAGGCTTCCAGATAAGCCTGTGTCACTGATGTGGACCGTACCGCTATAAACCTGGCTGGGATTCTGCAGCAATTAATTTCTTAAGATGTAAAATGGAGATCTTTTGCATATTTTGCAAGGACGCGATGGTTGTACTGCCAAAATGCCTATCTGCTTTAAAAAAGCTGGCGCTGAGGACAAACTAGGGCCAACCATCCCTCCATCAGGGTTGCCATAAAACAATTTCAAAATAATAATTGCACTTACATTTTGGGGGGCAGAGTCAAATTCTCCCTTTTCCCATGTTTACATCTGTGTTCCAATATGTTTTCAAATGGTTTCTTGAGATGGTTATTTTTTTTCACAAGCATGCAGTGCATGGGTGAGCGGGCGAATCTTAGAGAAAGTAAGTGCTGCCTCTGTGTGTGTATGTGAGTGTATGTATATGTGTGTGTGTGTCTGTGTATACATATGTGTACATTTTCACCTTCAAAGTCACTAGTCTTTGTTGAGCACGGGCTCCCAAAGTCTGCCAGAATAAGGCAGCCGGGCAGTGGGCGCCCACACGGCTGTCTCTGCCGCCTGAGCCATCCCTAAAAGCCCAGAGCCACCTCGAGTTTCAAAGACAGAGACAGTTTATGGGGGACAAAACTAAGAATATTGCCGTTTAGGTTGTGCATGCAAAGGCCCTAACACTGCCCCTGTCAGGAGAACAGGGCCAGTTCAGCGGTGGGATTTAGAAAGAAAAGAAAAAAAGTAAAATGGGTTGTTTTGCACCTGATCGATCCAAAGCAAATACATAATACCCCTGGAAATATTACTGTTACTAACAGTAACAGTAATATTTCCAGGGGTATTGGGGGAAAGAATGGCGCTGCTTGTAAAGATGCCTTCTAACTGCGGTGAGTGCAGGAATCAGAGCGGTCCAGAGTTTTTGTTAAAGCGGATATGTGAGCCTAGTGGGCCAAAGCCCAACGCTACGGCCGTCTGAGCCTCAGAAACATCCAGATAAAAACCGTTTACTGCCTGCCTGACTCAGGAACTGGTGCTTTTTAAGAAAGCTTTTGTGGCAACAGTTTGATTTTCGGGTGGTAAGCAGGGGCTTTCTCAGGAGGGGGAACCGGCCTCCGTGAACTGCATCGCCAAAGGGTCTGTTCCCCTCTCCGGCTGGCCTTCCTCTGGCCCCACAGCCAGGGGAGGGGTGCTATCACCCAGGTAGAAACAGGCGATGTTTGCTCCTAAATGAAGCCTGGGCTCTGGCGGGGTTCACATAACAGCCCGCGCCTGGCTGAAGCTAGCCGTCACCGAGTTTTAGGTCAAAGGCGTCCAGAAGGCGAGGGAGAAATCAGCCGCTGGGAAGGAGGGGGAAAGGAAGAGAGGCAAACAGGCCAGCGGAGAGAGTGTGTCTTGCAGCCAGCCTTGCTGCAATTGAACTGCTTTTCTTAATCTCTGGAAGGGGGAGGGGGCACCTGAGGGAAGCTGAGGTGTTCGATAAATGGAATATTCTATTGAGCGAGCTCACACCTCGGTGTTGCAGTCTGGGGAGTGTGGAGCCTGGGGGCGGCCAGGGATGCTGAGAGCTCCAAACCGATGGAGAGGGCTTAGCTTGAGCTGCTGCTGCGGTGATACCTTCTTGTTCCAACCAGCAGGCCAGCCTGCGTCCGGAGGAGCTTACCCGCAGCTCCTCCTTGGGCTTTCGGGCGTGCTGGCCCAGCTTGGGGTTGGACCGTGGTCCTAGGTCAGAGAGGGGCTCTCACACAGGTTTACACACTTAAAAAAAAATAAAGCAAGAAGCAGCACAAAGGAAACATCCCAGTTGGTTTATTACAAGGGGTGGCATGGAGGAAGGATGCTGGAGAAAAGCATCCCAAAGCCCAGTGACGGCCCAAGTGCCAATGTCCGGGAGCCAGGAGCCTGCTGGCAGCAGATGCAGCACCAGGCTGGCTTCTGGAGCCTGGATCGGCACGTGCAGGCTCTTGGCTCCCGTCCAGCCTAGACGCCCATTTGGCCACCCTACCGGCCCCCATCAGACCAGGCTCGAGCTGCTTACGCAGGGCACCTGGCTTGTCTTACCAGTCAGATATGGGGGCGCTGAATTCCGGGGGAGTCCTGAGACCTCCTGGAGGGCCTTGGCTTTGAGGGGTCTCCGAACCCCTTGAAAATGATGGGCCTAATTGTAGGAATACACAGACTACCATTTTCAACAGGTCAAGAGGCAGGACTTGGCCTTGGTTTTTGCAAAGGGGCCTTCACTTGCAAAAAGGTTCAGAAAGACAGGTTCAGACCATAGCCTTTCACTTTATTTTCTTAGCCGCCCGCCTCAAGCACCCTCTCCTTGGCCCCTGGCCCTTCCCAGCCTGTGGCCTGGGTAACGGCCCTCTGCATCCAGTCTCAGGAGAACTAAGCCCTGGCGCCCTGGCCTGATGGGGCTCATGTTTTCCCCCAGAAACCCTCTCTGGTTCTTGTGAGCTACTTTCCGCTTGGCAGAGCTTTCCTGAGAGGCATGCACAGTCCTGAGGGGCAAGCCCTGGCGCAGGTAGCCCTGGGCTTTGGGCTTTCTGGCGTCCCCGCAGCGCTGCGGAGCACAGCTCCACCCTCCTGGCAAGGCAGATCGGGCGAGGACCCGCGGGAGAAGGGCCGGCTGCGGCACTCTGACACCTTTCTGTGCTCAGGTTTGTGGGCCTGGGGGCTAGGCCGGGTTAGAATTTGCTTTGGTCTGCCCGGGAGAGCGAGAGCGACGCGGAGAGTGAGGGCAGTTCCTAACCTTCCGCCCTTGGTTCAGCCGCGTGGATGGCGCAGCCTCAGGACCCTGTCAGATGGGGAAGCACTGGCTCTCTCTATCACCTTCTCGCTTTCCTCTCTCCGTTCTCCTCGCCTCCTGTCCCCCTCGATTTTTCTTTCTTCCTCCGTTTCCCCTTTCTCCGTCCCAGATGCGCGGTCCGCAGTCAGTAACCTCGGGCAGCGGAGGTGGAAGTGGTTGGAGGCAGCGCGGCCTCCGGGGCTCTGCGCTCCCAGGAGCCGAGCCGCTGCCCACAGAGACCGCAGCTGCCTGCGTCGCAGAACCAGCGCCTGGGCTCTGTCGCCTGCTCTCCCTGGGTCGCTCTCCCTGGGTCGCTCTCTCCTTGGACTTGGTTTATACTTGGGAGAACAAGGCCACATGCCTGACAAATCACCCGGGATGGAAGGGTCTCCCCGCGGGCGGCGCAGGGGCCTGCGGGCTGGCTGCCGCCGTCCAGGCCTCCGCAGGGGCCCGTGGGGCAGGCAGGCCGGAGGCATCCTGGAGAGCTGCAGCCCGCGGGCCAGGGGCAAGGCCGCGACCTCCCGGGCTCCACTGGATCCGGCCGGAAAAGGTCGCGTTTCCTGAGACAAGTCTGAGGCCCACGCTTGGGGGCTAGCGCCAAGGGCCCGCGTTTCCATTGACTTAGAGCAGGTCCTTGCAGCCAGGGGGGAAGAGACCTGGGGGCTGCTGAGCAAAGGGCCTCTCCCCCAAAGGCTCCCATCCTGGGCCAGGAGCCACGGGGAACAGATTTCCTCACCGTGGGCCTTGTTAAAACGCATAGGCTGCGGGAGAGAGGGCTGCTCGCCAGGTTTGGAGGGAGGAGGGAGGAGGGAAGGGACGCAGAGGCAGGAGTGTGGTGACACTGGTTCCTGTTGTACCTGGTCTCCGGGAGGGAGCATGCGAATGCCAAGGCTGAAGGGAGAAGGCGAGAGAGAATACCGTGTCAGAGGTGTCCCAGTTTCCCCTCCAGGTCCTCACCTCAGGGCAAGCCAAAGACCCCGCCTGAGGACCAGTGTTCCCTTCACTTCCCTGGAAGGGCTGGAGCTTGGAGCCTGATGGGGTGATGGGCTGGGCCGCCTGGACCTGGGCTCAGAGCAGGGGTGCAGGAGTCCTTCAGGTTGCCAGTTCCTTCCACAACCCCCCCATGCCAGCCCACCTAGGCCCACCCAGGAGCAAGCCAGGCAGGGGCACCAGAGGCCCAGAGCCCAGCTAGACCCAGACTGGCAGAGGAGAGTGCAGGGCCCCGGGCATTCCATTTGGAGGGGAGATTCTGTGCGGAATGCAAAACTTCAGTGGCAACTGCCAGCCTCCAGTCCACTCTGGACTTTAGGCACTCGGAGGGTCCGGTGGCCTGGGTCCAGGTCTGTCACTTTGGGGAGACAACTCCAGGCCCGAGTGGGGGAATGGGGAGAGCCTGAGCCCCTGCGAGGACTCCTGGGCGTTTAGAGAGAAAGGGAGAGCTGATGGCAGATTCTGAAATAAGGAAGGGGGAGGGAGCACCCATGGCGGGCCAGGGTGCAGCCATAAACACCCCCCGCCCTGGCTCACAGCGCGGGGGGCGAGGGACCCTTCACGCCCAGCTCAGAAAGAGGGTTCACGTCAGGGCAGGGGCTGGGCGAGCCCACGGGCCAGGTTCCTTCCCCGACCCCAGGCGCCTGGGGCGCCCCCCGCCGCCGCCGGCCCGGGGCTGAGGCGGGGGGCGTGCGCCTCGCGGCCCGTCAATACCGATTACATATTTCTATCAATCGCGCCGGAGGCCTCCGCGGGCCCCGCTACGACAGCAAACTGGGAGGGGTCGCGCGGCGGCGCCGGCTCGGGATTGGCTGCGGGCGGCCGCCGCGGCGCGGGGGGATCGCTAATCGCATTCAGCATGTTTTGCACAAGAAATGTCAGCCAGAAAGGGCTATCTGCTCCCTCCGCCAAATTACCCCACAACCATGTCATGCTCGGAGAGCCCCGCCGCGAACTCCTTTCTGGTGGACGCGCTCATCAGCTCGGGCCGCGTGGAGGCCGGCGGCGGCGGCGGCGGCGGCGGGGGCGCGGGGGCCGCGGGGGGCGGCGGCTACTTCGGCCCCGGCGGGGTCTACCTGCCGCCGGCCGCCGACCTGCCCTACGGGCTGCAGGGCTGCGGGCTCTTCCCGGGCCTGGGCGGCGCCAAGCGCAATGAGGCCGCGTCGCCGGGCGGCGGTGGCGGCGGCGGCGGGGGCCTGGGTCCCGGCTCGCACGGCTACCCGCCCGCGCCCCTAGACCTGTGGCTGGACGCGCCCCGCTCCTGCCGGATGGAGCCCCCGGAGGGGCCGCCGCAGCCCCCGCCGCCGCCGCCGCCGCCGCAGCCGCAGCCCCCGCCGCCGGCCCCCGCGTGCTCCTTCGCGCAGAGCATCAAAGAGGAGAGCTCCTACTGCCTGTACGACGCGGCGGACAAATGCCCCAAAGGCCCGGCCGCCGCCGCCGCCGAGCTGGCCCCCTTCCCGCGGGGCCCGCCGCCCGACGGCTGCGCGCTGGGCCCCGGCGGCGGGGTGCCCGTGCCCGGCTACTTCCGCCTCTCGCAGGCCTACGGCGCGGCCAAGGGCTACGGCGGCGGCGGCGGGCAGCCCCTGGGCGCCGGGCCGTTCCCCGCGCAGCCCCCCGGGCGCGGCTTCGAGCCGCCGCCACCTGCGCTGGCGCCCGGCGCGGCGGACGCGGCGCGGAAGGAGCGCGCCCTGGACTCGCCGCCCCCCGCGCTGGCCTGCGGCGGTGGCGGCGGCGGCGGCTCGCAGGGCGACGAGGAGGCGCACGCGTCGTCCTCGGCCGCCGAGGAGCTGTCCCCGGCCCCGTCCGAGAGCAGCAAGGCGTCGCCCGGGAAGGACGCCCTGGGTAAGCGGCGGGCACCGGGCCCCGCGCGGCGGGCACCGGGCAGGCCGGCCCGGCGGCGGGCAGGAGCGGGCGGCCGCCGGCCCGGCCGGCCTTGGCCTGCGCTGCAGGCAGCCTGACCTTGTGAACTTGCTTTTTAATATTTGGGCGTGGGGACGCAGTAAAAATTCATGGCCAGCCTGGTGCCCCACACACACCGAGAGAGACGTCCGTCCTCTGCGCTGGCCTGGGCTCCCCCCGCCTGGGGGGCGAGGATCCCATCCCGGCGAGCAGCGCCCCTCTGGGGCATGTCCCCCGTGGGGCAGGGGCCTGGGCCCGTGGCCTGGGCCCAGGCTGCGAGGCCGGTCCACGCGGGGGAGGGGAGGGAGGGAGAGTGCTCGCCCGCAGATAGCGCGGATGTTTGTAAGGCATCCAAAATAAGCAGCCGCCAGCACCAATAAATAAGCCCATTAACCGGCGAAGTTCGAGTTTACGATCCCCCATGCCTTTCTTTCAAAGTTGCTGCAGGGGCGGGAACCCTTGCTGCAGGCAGAAGAAAGGGAATCCGGCCTGAGAGCCGGGGCCCTGAGCTCAGAGGCGGAGAGGGACCTTTGCGCTTTGCCGGGGACTCAGTGGCCCAGACTGCACGTCCCGGGCTTCTGGAGAGCCGTGAGGGCAGCAGGCCCTTGACCCCAATCACTTTTTTTTTTCCTGCCAACCGCGTCCGGCTGCCTCTCCTCGTCCGGCTGCCTCTCCTCGCCAGGCCTTGGGCAGGGAGGGGCTGCAGTGAGACACAGCCATGCTGCCCACCCCCCTCCAAGGAGGCACCCTGGACCCCAGGAGAGGGGGCGGCAGGAAAGGCTTGTGTGCCTGGGGGCGAGACGCAGAGAAAACATAAATAAGGCAGTAAGTTCAAGGTACCCAGGCCTGTCCTCCCAGGTCCTTCGTTCTGCGAGCAGCCGGCAGCTTTGTGCTAAAACAGGTGTTTGGAGAGAAGGGGATGGAAATGGGAATTGGGAGGGTAGGTGTAGATGGGGGGTCCATCGGGTTTTACATGTTCCTTTCAGAGGAGCTGCTCTTCCTGGGCAGGCGAGCTAGCGGGGTGCGGGAAGTGGACCTCTGGGGTGACTGAGGGCATCCCTCCTGTGGTAGAGGCGGCCCCCATCCACCCCGGGAGTCTGGCACACTGCCTCCAGGTAACCTTCTCCTCTCTATCCCCTTTCCATGCCAGGCACTACCAAAGGCGAGAACGCAGCCAACTGGCTCACGGCGAAGAGCGGCCGGAAGAAGCGCTGCCCCTACACCAAGCACCAGACGCTGGAGCTGGAGAAGGAGTTTCTGTTCAACATGTACCTTACCCGGGAGCGGCGCCTGGAGATCAGCCGCAGCGTCCACCTCACGGACAGACAAGTGAAAATCTGGTTTCAGAACCGCAGGATGAAACTCAAGAAAATGAACCGAGAGAACCGGATCCGGGAGCTGACAGCCAACTTTAACTTTTCCTGATGAAGCTCCAGGCAATGCCGTTTCGGTTTATTTTTATTTTTTGTTTGTTCCCCCCCACCCTGCTTCCAGAGAGCCATCCTCCTCCCTCTGCCTCCGGCCTCTTGCCAGGACCCCGCACCTGTGCGGCTCCAGGCCTCCCTCCCGCACGCCATCTCCCTGGCCACCACATCAGTGCAGGGCTGGTCTCTTCTGACGTTCTGTTTCTTTGTTCGCTAGGTGCTGATCTTTTGCTGTTGTTGTTGCTGTTGTTGTGTTCTGGGGGAAAAGCCATATCGCTCTAAAATTCTATGTAGATAAAGATTGTCCTGAGTGTCAAGTGCGGGCTGGGATGGTTTGGCGTCTGGATCGCTCCAGAGCTCAAAATGGCCCCTGCGCTCCGGCGAGCCAGTTTCCTGCGGGGGGCCGGGCCAGCCCAGCCGGAAGGCCCCGTCCCCTTGTCCCGCTGAGGTGTCTGGCCCGAGGTCAATGGTGCCAGGAGCCACCAGCGGGGCTGCCTGGCCTGAGTGTGGGGCTGTGTGTAATCAGGGGGTACAGGCCCTGGGTCTCTTTTCTTTCTTTCTTCCTTTCTTCCTTGGTAAAGAGAAGGGCTTGTGGGCATGGGCGTACAGGTTGACAAAGGGGCTTGACTGTGGCTGATTGGAACATCGAGGGAGTCAGAAAGATGGAATTTTCCTTCCTCGGTAAGATAGCCAAGCTTAAAAAGAAAGAAAGAAAGAAAAAAGAAAAAAGAAATAAATAAGACCAGGATAAGGAAACTCCTCTTCCAGTTTGTGTAAGGCCTTGCATTGTGGGACTCAATTATTTCCCTCTCCTCTGAATGTCCATATCCTCTGGCTGTAGATAAATAATCTGACGCAGTTCTGTTTATACATGTGGATTTAGTGGATTTTTGTCATAAAGTAATCGTTACCACTGGTAACACAAGACAAGCACACCACAACTCTCCCTATCGGGTGGAGGTTAGTTCCCCTCCCCCCCTTTTTTTCTTCCTTTTTTTTTTTTTCTTTCCAAAATTCATGGAAGCCAGGAGGGCTGGGGCAAGCAGAATAGACTAGAGAAGGGAGACGTTGTTTGGTTTCCTTTATACTGTGAAGTTACATGCATAAAAGGGTCAAACCTGTAGGTGCAGAAAAAGAAAAAAAAAACTATAAATGCAAATCTGTATAAATGTCTATTATTATGAAAAAATTGCCAATCTTGTTTTATGCAAATGCATTCTATCGTTATTATAAATGTTAGTTCTAGCTCTATTTACTTCTAATCTTAAAATCAGAATAAATTAATATTGTAATGCTGCTGTGCGTGGAAAAAAAAGATGATGTTTATGTTCTTATAGAAGAATAAAAGCTGTGGAATGAAGCTTTTTAATTTTACCTCTTTTTTTTTTTTTTTGGACTTCTTATCTCCCCCTTCCACTTTATCCCGTCCACCACTTTTACAGCAGGAGGCCTAGCCCGCGCCCCCTGCAATTACGTTAGGCATCTATTTAAATATTACCTAGACGGTCGTAATTTGTCTGGACCCTATAGCCCTGGTGCCGTAAGGTTTGTCGGCTTTTGTTCAGTTTTATGACTTGCTAGTATATCTGGATTGTGGCTGTCTTGGACCGGTGGTTTCAGTTGAGAGGGGAGCTTCATGGACACAGGAAGCCGAACAGGATTTCTTTCGGGAGCCCCGGGGAGGCTCGCCAAGGCTGGCTATTTTGTGGGTCCCCCTGGTCCTCGATGACCCCCCCCAGTCTAGGAATCCGGGGAGCAGGCCGGGCCCACAGCGCCTCTCTAGCGTCCGAGGAGGCAGCGATTAGGCAGACCGGCCGGCTGGGCTGCCCGGACCCCCTCCCCCAGCTCAGCTCCCCCACCTGGGCGCCCTCCGCGGGGCCACGCGTTTCCTGCGCGCGGGAGGTGGGGGCGGCGGGGGGAGGGGGCGCGGGAGCGCGCGGCCCGGCTGGCTGCCGGGTGGGGCGGGAGGGGGGAGAGCGATCGCGGGGCGCGAGCGGGAGGCCGGAGCAGACAGGGCGCCGGGCGGGCTGTCCCCGCTCCGAGGCTCCGGGCCGCCGCCCGCTCGCTGGGCTGCAGGATCGGGGACGCCGGCGCGCCCGCCGCTCGCTCGCTCTCCTCGCTTCCTCCCTCCTTCTCCGTTCCTCTCTCTCTCTGACTTCCTTCCCTCCCTCCCGAGGTTTCCCTTCCCGGGCCTGGCTTCTCCCTCCCGATGCCTTAGGGCGGCCCGGGCGCGGCGGCGGGCAGGTTGGCGAGGGGCCGGCCGGCCGGGCGCGGGGCTCTCCCTCGGCGGCGGCGGCAGCGGCGGCGGCGGCGTTGGCGGCGGCGGCGGGCGAGCACAGAACTGGTCGGTGATTTAGGTAGTTTCCTGTTGTTGGGATCCACCTTTCTCTCGACAGCACGACACTGCCTTCATTACTTCAGTTGAAATCGTCTCCAGGTACCTGTGCGCGCGGAGGCCGGGCCGGGCCGGGCCGGGCGGGGCGTCCGGGCTCCGGTCGGTCGTGCCAGGCCCGCGGTGGCAACCTCGGCTTTCCCCGCGCAAGAACCTCGTCCCTGCTTCCGTCGCAGGGCTCCGCCGGGCTGCCGGCCTCACCCCCGGCTCCGCCGGGCCCCCGCAGGTACGGCCAGGCCGGCGGGGCCGCCGCGGGCGCCGGGGGCGTGGTAGGAATTCTGGGCCCCGGGCCATTCAAGGTCAGGGGCGCACACTGCCATCCGAGCCGCTCATTCTCCCGCAAAGCCAGGGCAGCCCCAGCCCCAGTCCAGGGCGGGAGATAAGACAAGACCCCTCTGCCGGTGAAGGCTCGGGGCGAGCTAGGAGGAAGGAGGCAGACAGGCTGGATCCTGGCCTTGTCACTTACCCTTCTCTCTGCGAGCCGCTCTCCGCTCCCAGCCGTCGCCTTTGACTCCTTTCTTCCTTCTTTCTTTCCTTCCTTCCCTCTCCCCTCTTTCTTCTCCGTCTTCTTTTCTTCTTCCCTTCTTTCCTTCAGCTTTGTTTATTTTCTTTGATCTCTCTGTGTCCATTTCCCTCCCTATCTCCATTTCCTCTGCGCCCCAGCTCTTCCTTCTGGCGGGACCTCGAGCTGGCTTGGGAAGAGCCAGGGTGGTGGCTGTCTTTTATTTTTATTGTTTCTTCTCTGTGCACTCAAGTAGAGATCGCGTTGTGACAGGGAATGGTGCGCAGACACGGCCTCGGTTACGATCACGACCGGATGGCGGCGGCCTTGCGTTCCTGCTCGGTCGGGCAGCAGCAGCCCCGAGATCCGACTGCGGAGCGCTCCGGCTCCCGGGGTTTTCGCAAGGACGCCTTCGCCAGCTTCACTGGAGGCCTGAGGCCCGGCCTGGGCTGAGGCTCAGTCAGGCTCTCGGAGCTTCCTAGGCTCTGGGGCCCGTAGGTCTCAGCCCCGGCTCTAACCGCGATAAGGGGGCCGCGCCAGGGCAAAGATAGGCTGCTTGCTTGCCAGGAGCTTCTATCCGGTTCAGAGTCAGGGCATGTTGGATATGGCATCCTTGTGCGGAAGACTGCTGGAGAAGGGGACCCTTCTCGCAACCGTGTTTCAAATAACTGGGGACAGGAATTCTAAGTCCCCGAACCATTGGGATACGAAGTTGAGTCCCTATTCCACGAGGTACTGGAAGCCAGGCGGAGGAGTTTCATGTTTCCTGGGAGGCTGAAACCATCCTCCATCCCTCTCCAGTCCCCACTGGCACCGCACGAGGGGCCTTCAGGCTGTTTCTTTCCAGCAGGACTGCTCAGCTTTGGGCCCAGGAACTGTTTTCACTGCTTAGCCCCAGTCCAGGAACTGTTCTTAACGCTTAGCCCCGGCCCTGGGTCCTGTTATCCAAAAGGCCCACATGGATGTACCCTCAACCCCTCTCTGCCATTTTCAGGACCTGAGTATTGGGTTTGTTTTGGAGGCCAAGGTTTTAGAACTCTGGGCAAAAAGAGATGGTTCGCAACCACTCCCATTTATTCTTTCTTTATGCGCACACAATCCCTTTTCCTTCCAAAATAAAAGCAGACACAAAAACCCGAAGGGTCTCTCCTCAAACCTCTGGGCTGAAGAGGGATACTTTTGGTTTGGGGATCCCCTTACCCCATTTTAGGCACCAGTGAGGATTAGTTAACACTCAAGCCCTGCTAATTTCTTAGTAGCTGTCCTATTTGGGGGGCTAAAGCTATTTATAGGACAGTCTTTCTATTTAAAGTACTATAAATAATTCGTGTCTTCTTTGGGTACAAAAAGTGGGAAAGGCAGCCGGTTTGCGGACAATTACAATTAGGAATGAAGGTTTCCTCTGGGTTAATTTTCTTAATGAAAATCTGAGAGGTTCCCCGAACTGCGGGGACTTGGGGGCACCTTGGGCTGTGGAGGGGATGGGAATGGAGGGGAGGACTCTATAAGCAAAGGACAAATATTAGTGGGGGAGGGAACTGAGGTGGCCAGGACCGCCAGGCCAGCGGTAGGAATTTATTGTGTTGGTCACTTCCCCCTTCCTCCCTTCTTCCGGTGGCCAGGGACCGGGTTGGTCTCCCTGTGTCTTTTCAGCTGGGGGAGAGCCTGGCATTGGGGGTGCCCATTGGGGATAGGGGTGTATCCGGGTTTGGGGAGGGGTTGCTGGGGCTGTTGGGGAGGATGGAGGCAAAAACACAAGAGATGGAAGCAGCCCAGGGAAGTGGGCTAATGAGAAACACACTCTTGCAGGCACAGTGTTCACACGTGAATTTAATTACCCCGTTTTTAGGAGTCGCTGCTTCCCGTTCGTATTTGGTGGGTTTTTTCCTTCCTTCCAATTAACAAAGAGGCGAGGCCCTTTAATTTACCCCTAAGAGGCTCCGAGGGTGGAAAGCACCCTCCTCCATTTGGCCAAGCTGGGATGGGATTAAAGTCAATGCCCCATGCCCCTCCCGGTTCAGTTCTGGCCCTGGACTTGAGCTGTGGCCGCCTCACGACTTCGATGAGCTGTGGGTTAGCCAGGCGGCCCGCCAAGGGACAGTGGCCTGGAGGGAGGAGGGAGGGAGGGAGGGAAGGAAGGAAGGAAGGAAGGAAGGAAGGAAGGAAGGAAGGAAGGCAGGAGGGAGGGAAGGAGGGAGGGAGGGAGGGAGGGAGGGAGGGAGGGAGGGAGGGAGGAAGGGGACCCAAAGCCTTCCTACGGGGGGCCCTGAGACCAGCCTCTCCAGAGCGGGCCTCCTGGCTTCTGAGCTGCCAGGTCGCTTAGGCCGAATTCGCCTGTTACTGATGCTGCCTCGTAGGGGTTTTATTTTATTTCATTTTTGCAGCTCGGGTTAGGGGAGTGCGAGTAGCAGAACTCAGCATTCGGGCCTCGGAGGAGGTCGGAGCAGGGGCTGGGGTGCCAGCCCTGCCAAGGGGGAAAGGGGATGGTGGACCGCACGGGCTAACCCGGCCCCCAAACCCTGGGTCGGGCTGGCCGGCTGCTCCGCCGTAGGAGGCTCGCCGGAGGCTCAGCGGTCCATGGGGGAGCTGCCCGACACCCTGCGATCCGGTGAGGCGGATCCCGGCCCCCCACAGGCTGTGTCCTGGCGTGGCCTGGCCCTGCCCCGCGCGCCGGGCAGGGCCAGGCGGCTCCGTCTGGGAAGGCGGCCGCGTTGAATTTGACTTTCGGATCCGCCGGGTACAGTCGCCTCTCCGGGGACCGCGGGGGGACTATTTACGGGGAGCCCGCCGACCCAACACCACGGTCTAATTTACCCTTCCCGGGTCCTCGTAAATTTTTACAACTGGGAGCCGCGGCGAGGTAAACGGATCCGCGGGTTGTTCCCAACTTCCCCCCGGCCCGCGTGGCTCCCGACACAATAACTCCTCCCGCAATATAAATACAGATTTAAATACAGTGGAGCGAGAATGCGATTTGGCTGCCTTCTTTACGGCTCCCATTATTGTCTAATTTTATGTGAGGGGCTCCGCCGACCCCGCGCCTCGCCGATGGCGTGATTAATTGTGATATAAAATAGTCCGTGTGCCTGGCGGTGGCGGTGGCGGTGCGGAGGGCGGGAGGGGGGCTGTCCGGAGGCCAGGCCAGATTTGATCTTTTAATCTTCGTTGGCCACAATTAAAACAAACCCGATCGCGGAGCGCCGCGGCGGATCCCTTTGCATAAAAAACATATGGCTCTCGCCATAAAAAATTATGACGGCAGCGCCGCGGCCGGGCGGCGTGCGGAGTGATTTACGCGTTATTGTTCTGCCCGCGGCCACGTGACGCGCGCGGCCAATGGGGGCGCGGCCGCCGCGCTTATTAGGTGGCGGGGCGCCCCTCCCCGCGCCGCCAAGTTGTTGCATGGACCCCGCACTTTCCTAATTTCCGCGGGCCGGGCGGCCGGGCGGGCGGCGATGGCCACCACGGGCGCCCTGGGCAGCTACTACGTGGACTCCTTCCTGCTGGGCGCCGCCGCCGACGCCCCGGACGAGCTGGGCGCCGCGGGCCGCTACGCCGCGGGGGCCCTGGGCCAGCCCCCCCGGCCGGCGGCCGCCCTGGCCGAGCACCCCGACTTCAGCCCCTGCAGCTTCCAGCCCAAGGCGGCGGTGTTCGGGGCCTCCTGGAACCCGGTGCACGCCGCCGCGGGCGCCCCCGCCGTGCCCCCGGTGCCCGCCGTCTACCACCACCACCACCACCACCACCACCCCTATGGGCACCCCCAGGCGCCCGTGGCAGCGGCGGCGGCGCCGGATGGCAGGTACATGCGCTCCTGGCTGGAGCCCACGCCCGGCGCGCTCTCCTTCGCGGGCTTGCCCTCCAGCCGGCCTTACGGCGTTAAACCTGAACCGCCGCCGCAGGCCAGGAGGGCTGACTGTCCCACGCTTGACACGCACACTCTGTCCCTCACTGACTATGCTTGTGGTTCTCCTCCAGTTGATAGAGAAAAACAGCCCTGTGGCGGCGAAGGCGCCTTCTCCGAAAGCAATGCCGAGAGTGAGAGCGGCGGAGACAAGCCCCCCATCGACCCCAGTAAGTGTCTCCTCCCTCCAAACCGGCCGCCGCCGCCGCCGCCGCCTCCACGCTGGCCTCCCGGATCTGCCAGCCCGCCAGCTGTCTCTGGAGCCCGCCTTGGCACGCCCGGGAGCCTCCCGAGCGGAGGCCCGGAGCCAGAAGCCGCTGTTTGGGATGGATGCCTCCTCGGACGGAGGCCCCAAGTCCACAGCCCTTGGCCGAGCGGCCCGCCGGGCTGGGGAGGAGGTGGCTGCTGCCAGACAGGGGGCGGGGCGGGTGCTGCGGCGGAGCCCAGACCGGCTGCCCTCTCGCTGCTGCCCCGGACCAGGACCGAGATCCTTTGGGCCGTTGTTCTTCGAAAGCAGAGTCTTTTGTGACTAAATCCCCCGGAGCGGTGGCTGCCTGTAGCCGCCGGGAGGCCGGGAAGGCGGCCGGTTCCCTCCACGGCTTGTCTTCTGCCGCTGGCGGTGTAAATCCTGCCCCAGAGGAGGCTGCAAGCTAGCGGGCCAGGAGGGTCCGGGCCAGATTATTCTAACAAACTGGGGGAGCGATCGCCGGCCTTAGGGCGTCCAGGGGCCGAATGCTGCCGAGGCCTGCCCGCCCCACGGCCCTCCAGGAAGGTCTGCGGGGGGTGGGAGACTGGAAGGAGAGGAGGGGAAGGGAGCACACGGAGTTATTTCCAGGGAGCCAAGAGTATGAGTCTTGCTACACGAATGCAGGGCGGCAGGGCTTCCCCTGCCTGGCAAGGAGGAGATCTATTTTCACATTTCGCTTTTCACACACACTGTGCGGGGAGGTGGGTAGGGAGAGGACAGAGCGGGAGCACCGAGGAGGAGAATGGAGGGCCTCCGAGGGGAGGGAGTGGAGGTTTTACTGCGCACGATTGTAAGTGACCGTCCAGCGTCTGTCTGCCAGGGTCCATTGTGTCCCAGGCTCTGCCGCCTCCGTCCCCACCAACTCAGCAGCGGCCCGAGGCCCCGAGATTCCCCAGCCCCCAGCCCAGGTGGGGGTGTGCTTCTCCTTCTAAATCCCATTTCTCTCCGCCCCCCCCCCAACCTCCCCAGGCAACCCGGCTGCCAACTGGCTCCATGCGCGCTCCACGCGGAAGAAGCGCTGCCCCTACACCAAGCACCAGACGCTGGAGCTGGAGAAGGAGTTTCTGTTCAACATGTACCTCACCAGGGACCGCAGGTACGAGGTGGCCCGGCTGCTCAACTTGACTGAAAGGCAGGTCAAGATCTGGTTCCAGAACCGCAGGATGAAAATGAAGAAGATCAACAAGGACCGAGCAAAAGACGAGTGATGCCACTTTGAGTTCATTTTGAAAACAGATGGAGCGAGAGGGCAAGAGAAAGGACTGCCTGTCCCCTTCTCTCCTGCCCCCCCCCCCAAGCCTCCAGCACCCGCACAAAGCGGCCAAACTCCAGCCCTCCTCTCCCGGGCAAACCTTTCTCAGGCTGGCTCCTTGGCCTGCCGCTTTCCTGGAGGAGGCATTGTAAGCTTCCGGTTTTCTGTTAAGACAAACAAATAAATAAAAATAAAAGGAGGAGGAGGAGGAAGAAGAGAAGAGAAGAAGAAGAAGAAGAAGAAGAAGAAGAAGAAGAAGAAGAAGAGGAGGAGGAGGAAGGAGGGGAGGAGAAGGAGGAGGAAGAAGGCAGCATTAGCGCCGATGGCTGTGTGTGTGTACGCGAGCTTGTATATATTTTATAAAATCTACCTGTTCCTGACTTAAACAAACAAATGAAAAAAAAAAACTACCTTTTTATAATGCACAACTGTTGGCTGCGGGCTGTCTAGATTGTAGTCTGTGTAGTTAATTTAATTTTCTCTTTGTTCGGCAGAGCGATCTGCCCAGATACTTGAACACTGTGTTTTATTGTGGTGATTATGTTTTCTTGTGTGACTCAAACTTCTGTGCTGGGTGACGCACCCGTTGTGATTGTGAAAGCTAGGATTCAATTTGAACTCAGGTTGTTTATGAGGGGGAGACAATTGCATAGAGTATAGCCCTGTAGTGGGATCTGTCTTCTGTATAACTAGGCTGTTAACCTTTGATTGTAAATTAGCTGTAAGAATTTCTCAGTGAAATAATTTTTCTTGTTGTTGTTGTTGTTAAAGAAAGGGTCTCTGGGATGCATAGATTCACGATTTTCTCCACTTTTGAAAATTTTAATTTTACGTGCTCTATCGACGTGTCTGGTCCATTGTATATAATCCTCGTGTGAGAGAAAAAGCGATCAGACCAGCTTGAATACTGTGTTTGCGCCAGACAAACAGGGAGGAGATTTGGAGCTATATGTACTGCAGAAGGTTACTACCTATGGTTTATGTTTAATTTTAACTGGGGGGAAATGATACTGTAATGGAGCTAATTTTATTGATAATAAATTATGCATTGTGAAACTGCCACTGGGCTGCGGTAAATTTGTATTCCTGATGAATCGGGGGTTTCCGTGGGGCTGAGCATACACTGTATATTTTGCAATAGTTACCTCGAGGCCTACTGACCAAATTGTTGTGTTGAGATATTTAACTTTTTGCCAAATAAAATATATTGTTGATTTTTATTTTATTTTTGCGGGTCAGCTCTTTGCATCTTCTCCTGGGGCAGGGGGGCCTGGACAGTCTCCGGGAGGGCCCCTGCGGGTGGAAGAGGACAGAACCTCATTTTTCGGGGCGTTGGGAGCTGGATCCTAAGGCAGGAGCCCCTGGCCGGCCTCGGGGCTCGCACAGGCCAGCTGCTCAGCAGCACCAAGAGCTGAGTGAAGGAGGAAGGCGGCGGAAAGCTGGGGAGCACGGGGCAGCGAGGCCGGGTCCCCCACTTTGTGTTTGTTTTCCAGAAGGCCAGGAGGCCTCTGAGGAGCTGGGCTGGTATCTGGGGTGTGGCTGGGCAGCACCACTCTTTTCTCTTGGCTCCCCCAAAATTGCCCAAACAGAGACTGCTGGGCCTTGGGGGTGGGGGACGCAGAGGGAGGGAGAGGGGGAGCAGCGGGATCATGAGCTAAGGGCCTGCTTGGACCTGTTTTCTAAAGAGTCTCCGAGGAGGTTCCCGGGAGCCCGATCCCCCAACAACGTGGCTTCGGGACAGATGTTTGGGAGCTCACAAGCTCTCGGGGACTGAAGGCCTGCGCCCCTGCACCCCCACGTTCTGTCGGGCTGGCCCAGGCTTAGGCTGGGCCTATTCCACGCGCCCCTCCCCGAGCACAAGTCCTGGCAGAGGCAGGGCCCAGGCGAGCGAGGAGCCGGAGCGCCATAAAAGAAAATGAGGGCTGTTACTGTTTATGGGGTGTAAAGGGCTGCGGGGGACGACCCAGCCAAGGAGCCCGAGCGCCTTGTAGATGCGACCGAAGGGTTCGGCCTCGTCTCCCCCTTTTCTTGCCCGCCTCCCCCGCACATCCCCCGCGACTTCTGCAAAGGGGTCTGGATTCGGACACGGACAAGGGGGAACGGGGCGCCGGGGACGGGGCGCCCCTCACACCCCCACCCCCACCCCGCCACCAGGTTGGACGCCCTGTGTTGTTGCAGACGGAAGGGACTTCAAAGAACGGGCACGCAGGGCGCGCCATAAAGGCCGGGTCTGCGAGCCGTCTGGAATTCGGCCCTTAATGAGTTTACAACTGTCCAGCCCCAATTAGGATTTTCCACCAAAGCCCTTTCATTTGTGTGCTCTGTCTGCCGCCGATAAAGCGGGTGCGGAAACAGCCCTCTTTTATGGGCGCTGCTCTCTCGGCAGCGCAGATTCCGGACCCACGCAGATGCCCCCCCTCCCCCCAAACCCCTTCCCCCCGCGCCCCGGCCCCGCGGGCCCCGGGAGTGGGGCGCCCGGCCGCCGCGGGGCCTGCGAAGTTCAGCGCGGCGGCGAGGCTGCAGTGCCGCGGGGCGGCCAGCAGATGGCAGTGTGACTCCACGCAAGAGGCGCCCGCGCCGCCATCTCCCGCCGCCGCCGCCGGGACCTTCCTAAGATGTCGACTTGACGCGAGCCTTTCTGCAGCGGGAGCCCCAGGTCTGCGTGCACGGCGGCGGCGTCTTCTCCCGTCCTGCTCCCCCCAGGATGGACGCCTCGCGGGGAAACCAGCGAGCGGCGCGGCGCGGCCCGGCCCTGCAGGGCTGCGGCTCCCGGGGCGCGGGGACCCTCCTGGGGTCACGGTCCCCGGCCCCGGACACGCCCGGGTGCAGCGCGCGCCCGGAGAACCCGGCTGACCGGCGGACAGACCCCGGGACTAACGGCCTACAGCCCCCCTGGACCTGGTGACCCCCCAGAGGGTGTGCCGAGTGCAACCGAGCCAAAGGGGCTGGGGCCCGGAGACCCCCAGAGGCTGCGCCCTGGCAAAGGCCCAAGGAGCCAGCACCCGCGGGTGAGCCAGAACCCGGGCCCTCGGCCGCCTTGAATCCGCGACAATAAAGTGAAGCGGCTGGAAACGGGGGTACAGAGATTTGGGGTGAGGTCTAGTGTAGGTCGGACGGCCGAGTTGCCTACGAATGGGCATCCTTGGGGACAGACCAGGCGCTGCTTTGGTTATTCTAAAATAAAGGTGATGTTTAAAATAATTATTTTAATAAGTAACATCCTAGTTTCCGAATAGGCGCTCCCGTCGCCAAAGCCGCTCCCGCTTCCCCTCGCCGCTGAATTTCCCGGGCAGTGGAGAGACTGAGGCTTCTCTGGCGTCCTCTGCTCGGGAGCCAGGAGGAGGGAGGGGACCCCACCAGGCCACCCTGCCCCCCACCCTGCGGGGAGAAGGGAGAACCTTCCAGAAGGCTCCCGGAGAGGGAGGATCCGCCCTGGGTGCAAAAACGGTTTTCCAGAGAAAAGGCAAAAGCAAACAGGATCTCGGCAGAAAGCACCCCAGCCTGTGGACACGGCGCCCGGCGGCGCATTTATTTGGATTGTAACCGTCTCTGCCAAGCCCACAAACCGTTCACAGCCTGCGCCTCCGCTGCACACGCTGGAAAGCGGGGATGGGTTTTGGCTGACATCTCTCGCGGGTGTTTCTCCCTCTCCGGCATTGTGCTGTCTCTCCTTCCCTTTCCTCCGTCTCCATACACACGTTGGCATCGCAGACACACGCCTCCGTTACATTTCGTTACATGACCCGGTGTTTCTCAGCAGCTGATGGCGAGGAGGGTTTTATAACTTCCCAAGAGCTGTCCCTGGCCCGGCATCCCAGCAGCCGATGGAAAGGCCGGTTCATGTCGCTACCAATAAATGGCAAAGGAGCGGGTCGGTGGCCACTGCTTCTCTCCCCAGGTCCCGGAGCCCAGGTAGGGGCAGGCCGGGTGTCTCAGAGGCTCCTGGATTGCCAGATGGAAGGGACCTCGGTTGCCCTTGGCCTGCGGGTGGCGGCTGGGAGGGTGGCGGCTGGGAAGTGGCTCTCCCAGCTCGGCTGCCCTGCCCGGGGACTGGCTCCCCCCATCCCCCAGCCTCCTGGAGGAGGTCCCCTGGCAGCCCCAGCTCCTGGCACTCCTCCGGGATGGACCTGTCCCACTGCCACGACTGGGGGGCTGCTTCCTGGATGGAGAGCCGGTGCCTAGGGGCTCGGATAGAAGCTGCAGCCGCAGTTCCTTTAGGAAAGCTGCAGAGTTCTGGAGGCTCCATCTGCAGCCTGAGATCGATCGGGGTTCACATTCTCAGCTGGATTTAAATGTTGGGGACAGTCTGCTAACAAGAAGTAGAGGAAACACAGATAGCTTGGCACACCGGGGCCCGGCCAGCCGAGACGGCCAAGGCCCAGGATAGCCGGTAGCCGGTGGCCAGAACCCAGGCTTGGGGACTGTTTCTGAGACTGTGATCACGGATAACCCAGGGCAATGGGGTCTTTTCAGCCAAACATGTGGGAAAGCAATGGCTCAGGAACCCGCGGGCACAGAGGCCTTAAGGACAGCCCGACTCTGCCCGGCCTTTTCGTTTTAAAGCTGCCATTGAAGGCCGGCGGGGAGACAGAAGCCAGAAACGAAAGGGAGGGCCCGGCGCCCGCGGGACTTGGCCGGGTGGGCTGACAGGGTTCAAGAGAGGCCGGGGCCTTGCGGGAAAGTATCCGGATCCTCCCTGGCCCAGGCGCAGGGGCAGCGTGTCCTGCCAGGACCGTTTGGATCTGCCAGAGACAAACGCGGGCAGAGATGAGCCAGGGCGGTGATCCCGCTCGCACCCCCCAATGGCTCCCCTATCCCGCCCGCACTCCTCCAATGGCTCCCCGCTCTGTCGGCTGGTCAGCTCCCTCTGGGCAGGTTCTTCTTGGAAGCCATTGCTGGGTCAGCCAACCCGCGTCTAGACAGACAGCCGTCCGCGGCCAGCCGGGTCTTTCTCCTCGCATCTTGCTGTGTCGCTCGAGGAACAATTTATTGGTCTAACGCAGCCTGATTCCTCCTCTTTGATCTCCTGGCCCCCTTCTTGTCGGTCCCATCTTCCCTTAACTCGCTGAGGTTTTATTTCCTGCCAGAAATGGATGCTGTTTGGAGTATTTGTGTGTGTTTTCTTCCCTTCCTGGCGCATCCCCTCCATTCCCCAAGCAAGACGGCCAGCATCCTCTTCTGCCATAAAGGGTATCCCGGATGTTGTCCCCCATGGTCCCTGTACCCCCAGGGAACACCACCCGGACCCCACCCGCACCTACAGCCCCCCGCCTCCCCACCGCACCGGCCATCCGCTAGGCCGGAGCCGCACTCCTCCGCATCTGGGGTCTGAACCCTCCGCCGCCGTCCTTTGTGCTCCCCGACCCCCTGAGTGGGTGTGGTGAACCGGGCGGCCTGGACCCTCAGAACGTGATGGGAAGCGCTTTGTACAAGGAGAACCAAACTCTATAATTTAGAGGAGAGTTTCCGGGGCAGTCCCATTGTGAGGTCGGGTTTATGGTGTGCAATAGAGCCCAGCAGTAAAAGGCGCCCTGACCTGGCGGCCAGGCTCCCAGCCCGGCCCGGCAGTTTACGAGGCATTTAGGGGGAAGGCTTCGCCCCATCACCCTCACAGGAGCGGGGAGCTGCGGGGACTTTGGCTGTCCCAACCCTGCCCAGGGGCTGGAGGCTCCGGAAGGTAGGGAAGGTAAGCCCGGGCCTGAGTGGCAGAGAGACTCCTGTGCACTCCACCCTCGGGGAGCTGATCTTTGGAAAGGGGACGCAGCCGGAGCTGGGGGGGCCTCGGGGAGGGGTCTCCAAAAGAAAAGGAGGTGCCCGGGCCTCCCTCTCTGCTCCCCAAACTGGCGCTACAGCATCTATTGCTGCCAGGCACGCAGGAGGGTCCCTGTGCCCCGAGGGAGAAGGGGGGGGGGGGGGGAGGCGGGTACACAGGCTCCCGGAAACCTCAGGGTACAAGTGGTACCCAGAAAGCTGCAGGGCCTGGGGGAGACTTGGTTCCCCCGCAGCCTGGGAGAATCCAGGGTTGCTGGGGGGACAAAAGGATGTCCAACCGTTTCTGGGGCTGTCAGAGGTCAGGCAGGTGCCCGAGAGCGAAGGCACCGAGCCTGCGGGGCCAGCGGTATCCAGGAGGAGGGAAGGGAGTCCCACGTTAGTAAATCTTTTGGCAAACGAGGCTCATTAATAGGCAAACACTCGCCCGCTTCCTTTAGGCGGATGACCAGCGCGCCCTGATTAAGGAAAGGAAGCCGGGAGACCTTGACTTTATTCGAACCACATGGTTCCAGTTTGCAGTGGCCTTCTCGCTGCCTTCCGAATCGGAGTCTAGGCCAGGCCATCAGACTGGCACTCAGGCCCACGAGGGACCTGGGCGGGAGGAGACGCGGGCCAAGAGTCCATTTGCCCAAAGCAGAGACTTGCCCGCGGGGCCACTCTGGGGGTGCGCGGGGCGCAGAGACCCTCCCTGGACGGGGTCGGTGGGCAGAGAAGGACCCGCAGGCTCGGTCCAGGGTTCGATCGCGCCCTGTCGGCCCCGCGCAGCCCCTGCAGGCCGGGCGCCCGGGCTGGCGGCGGTCGGGAGGGCCCCGCGGAGCCCGGGGTCCCCTCCCCGCGGGGCGCGCCGGCCGGCCGCCCGCCGGAGCCCTCTCCCCTCCAGCCCGGCGCCGGCCCCGCCGAGCGGCCCACCTGTGAGCGCGGCCCAGATTGGCGGAGGCGGTCATGTGGGCGGTCACGTGCCGCGGCGCGCTCCGTCCCGGAGAAAATGGGGTTTGGTGTAAATCTGGGGGTGTAATGTTATCATATATCACGCTACCTCGTAAAACCGACACCGAAAGCTGCCGGACAACAAATCACAGGTCAAAATTATGAGTTCCTCGTACTATGTGAACGCGCTCTTTAGCAAATACACGGCGGGGGCGTCTCTCTTCCAAAATGCCGAGCCCACGTCCTGCTCCTTCGCGCCCAGCTCGCAGCGCAGCGGCTACGGCGCGGGCGCGGGCGGCTTCGCGGCCGGAGTGCCCGGCGTGTACAACGTGGGCGGCCCCCTGTACCAGGGCCCCTTCGCGGCCGGCTACGGCCTGGGCGCCGACGCCTACGGCAACCTGCCCTGCGCCCCCTTCGACCAGGGCCTCCCCGCGCTCTGCGGCGGCGACCTCGCCAAAGGCGCCTGCGACAAGCCGGACGACGGCGCGGCCGAGGCCAGTCTCCGCATCTACCCGTGGATGCGGTCCTCAGGTGAGCCGGGGCCGGGGCCGGGGACAGGGGCCGGGGGCGATCGGGGCTGGGAGCCGGGAACCGGGAGCCGGAGGCCGGGGCGATCCGGGCTGGGAGCCGGGAGCCGGGAGCCGGGGGCGCGGGGCCGGGGCGATCGGGGCCCGGGGCTGGCGGCTGCGGGCGGGCGGAGGCCCCTTGACTGCTGGCGGCGCAGCCTTTCTGGTTTTAATTAGAGTCGAGGCGCCATAGCGTGGAGAACCCGCAGCATTGTATGTAAATGAGGCTCATAAAACTTTTTATGGCCCGATTAATGGGTTCAATCCTCGTAAATTTATTTAACTCCCTTTGCCTCGGAATTTTAACGTGAAGTTTGTTTGTGCGCTGTCCTCTCTCTCTTTCTCCCTCCCTTGCCCTTCTCTCTCTCCCTCCCTCCCTCCGCCTCTTCCTTTCAGCCTGGTTTTTCTTTCTCAAAACCTGGGGGAGCCTCACCCTCCAGGGCCCCGCACCAGCCCCCGCGCCCGCCCGGGGCCCGTGTAAGGCCGGGCTGGACGCTGGAGCAGGGACGGAGGGTCGGAGTGACCTAGGAAGGTCCCAGGGTGGGGGCGCGGGCTGCTGGAGGCGAGGGGGGCCCCTGGAGGGTGGGCTGCCTGGGGTCGCCTACCGGCCTGGCCAGCCAGCCAGCCAGCCAGCCGGGGAAGCGGCCCCGCTGGTCTTTGAATGGCCAAAGCGGGGCGTCTCCCCCTTGCCCGCACTCTATATTTACAATTTCCCTTTGTCAGGGGGAGCGGGACATTGTGGAAGCCTAGCCGGCTGGAAAGCGCGGCTGGAAAGTTGGGACCCTGCGCCTTCCCTCCTCGGGGAGCTGCTGGGAGCTCCCTGCGCGTCTGGCAGGGCGGTGGGGGGCTCCTCCCCCAGCTCCGAGCGGGGCGCAGGGCGGAGGGGAGCCGGCCCTGGGCCCGATGAACGCACTGTCCTGACCATGGCCCCTCCGCTTGTCTGTCCGTGTGTCCCTGTGTCCGTGTGCCTGCCTGCAGGGCCTGACAGGAAGCGGGGCCGCCAGACCTACACGCGCTACCAGACGCTGGAGCTGGAGAAGGAGTTCCACTTCAACCGCTACCTGACCCGCCGCCGCCGCATCGAGATCGCCCACGCGCTCTGCCTCACAGAGCGCCAGATCAAGATCTGGTTCCAGAACCGCCGCATGAAGTGGAAGAAGGAGCACAAGGACGAGGGGCCGGCGGCGGCCGCGGCCCCCGAGGGGCCCGTGCCCGAGGCAGCAGCCGAGGCCGCCTCGGCGGACAAGGCCGAAGAGGAGGAGGAGGAGGAAGAGGAGGATGAAGAGGAGGAGGAGTGAGGGGCCCAGCAGGGCCCTGGGCTGCACCAGACAGTCCGGAAAGCATCGTTAGAGACTCATCGGTTTTATTTACAAAAGTTGAAAAATAAAAAGAAAATGTAAAAAAACAAAACAAAACAAAAAAAACCCCCACCCAGTCCCCCACCTACCCCATTATCCACTCCAATTCCCAACTTGTTTGGACAGCAGCTGCCTAGACTGGGTCCCTTGGGGGGTTCCCCTCTGCCTCAGAGGCCCCCCAGCAGACACCCCCACCCCCCATCCCTAGGCCGGCTGGCTCCGCACCGGCATGGCTGAAATACTACCTAGCACAGGCCTCAGAGAGAGGCACCCCAAACTACCTATGGGCCCAGCCCAGCGGACCTCCACTCCCAGGAACCCTGGAGTGTCCCCACACTGGCAGACACCCAGCACCTCCCTCTAGGCCAAGGACCTGCCTCAATACTACCTATTGTCCCAAACTACCTATGTTGTGCTCCCTGGCTCGCCTGCTACCTATGCCGGCCCTCCCAGGCCAGGACCCCCGCTGCTTGTGGCTGGCAGCCTCTGGGGTCCCTGAGGCTGTGTGGAGAAGGTGCTGGGGACCAGGGCATTGGCTTCTATTTAAATCGAAAAATAATATATTTATTCCAAAGCATTCTTAAGTGCTGCAACCTAGAATCCCTCTCTTCTGGCCTGGATATTCCAAGTTCAGGCCCGTCACCCCCCACTTCCGGAGGGGGCCATTCCTGAGCTGGCTGCAGGTTTCTGAGTGAGCTGCTGCTTAGGGCTGCAGAGATGCTCCCAGCCTCCCCGCCCCTGTGTCCTACTGCCCGGCGGTGTGGACCATGGACACCCTGACTGCCTACAATAGCAAATATTGTATATTTGAACAAGATTGTTTTGTTGTCATTTATATGGTCTTGGAGCTCATTTGTAAGGCGATGTCTTGCCTTGGGAAGAATGTGTTCACGGGGTGACCTTGTAGCATGGCGTGTTGTCTTGAGCTAATCTGTAGCAGGTGGGGAGAGCCAGTGCCCTCCCCGGTGCCCTTCATCCCCGGTGTTGTCCTGTGTCCCCCCCCTCCCTCTCGAGCCTCGGGTTCCAGGAACAGGAAGGTATGCTTTCCTCCATCTTGCCCAGCTAACCGTGTTTTATGTAACAGCAAAATAAAGATGCCTGATGACAAAGAAGTGTGGATTGCTCTATCTGGGGAGGGAGGCTGGGGAGGAGGGTCATTCTGGCCAGAGAGCAAGCTGGCTCTGTGCGTGCTCAAAGGGAAGCAAAAGTGGAAGGACAAACAGGGTCCAGGGTGGGTGTCCCTGAATCGGTGTGTACGCGTGTGAGTTCCTTTTTGTGTGGGTTTGTGTGGGTATGTGTGTAGCTTTTTTGTATATGTATCTCTGTGTGTCTCTGTCTGTATTTTATGTCCACAATTGTATGTATTTCTGTGTCTGCCTGTGTGTATTTTTATGTCCACAATTGTATGTATTTCTGTGTCAGTCTGTGTGTATTTTATGTCCACAATTGTACGTATTTCTGTGTCAGTGTGTATTTTATGTCCACAATTGTATGTATTTCTGTGTCTGTCTGTATTTTATGTCCACAATTGTATGTATTTCTGTGTCTGTCTGTATTTTATGTCCACAATTATATGTATTTCTGTGTCTGTATTTTATGTCCACAATTGTATGTGTTTATGTGTCTGTCTGTGTGTATTTTATGTCCACAATTGTATGTGTTTATGTATCTGTAACTGAGTGAGCATGTTTCTGTGTGTGAATAATTGCGTGTATTTCTGTGTCCATAACTGAGTGGATGCGTTGCTGTGTGCCCCCGAATGCACATGTGAATTTCTCTGGGGGAACACTTTTGTCTGGCTTGTGGGTGTGCCCACAAACACCTTCCAGATGCCTTGAAAACGGAATCTTCTGTAGGTACATTCTATTCTATAAGCCTTCCTAAACACACTCATAAATTCCAAGAGCGAAGCCAAAATCCAAAACCCGCCCTTGCCTCTAAGGCTGCGGGGTGGGCTTGCAAAGGGGTATCACCCTGCGACTGATCCGAGAATTCTCCATGAGCCTGAACCTGGGCTGGGAGGGGGGATTCCGGGCCTCTGCCGGCCCCCCACCCGCATTCGGGCTAAGCGAGGGCTGCTCAGAGCCCCGCAGTGCGGCTGCGAGGGGGCAGGGGCAGGGGGCAGGGGCAGGGGCAGGAGCATGGGCAGGGCCCGCAGACCCGCAAGCCTGGGCGGGGCGCCTGGGTGCGGGGGCGCCTGGGTGCGGAGAGGATGAGGAGCTGGGGAGGGGCGGTGGGGGCCGCAGGGAGCAGTGAGCCGGGGATGGGGGTGGGGGGTGGGTGAGGACCTGACCCCAGGCTCGGGGCTGGGCCCCCTCTTCCTGCTTCTGAATAAACCCCGCTAACCGGGTCTGCAAACCCTGCGGCCCCAGTCGGGGCGGCTTCGGCGGTAAGATGGCGCCGGTGGAAGAGCTGCCTCCTCTCAGAGATGGGGAAAGGGTCATAAATCCGTTGTTGTTTATGAAAATTTACAACTTTGCAATACAACTTTATGAGTTGTTCGGCCCTTCCATTGGCCGTCGTCGGTCATGTGGATGGGAACCGTGAACATGAACTTTTTTATAATTTCCCTTGCGAGAATAGAGCTGCATTCTTGCGCTCCGCTCCGTCCTGCCTGCTTCGGAGCTCTGCCTGCAGCCGGCTGGGCTGGCTTTGTCCGGCGATGGCGAGCCAGGCGAGGCCCCGGGCCGGCCCTCCCCGCCGGCGGTGCGGTGCGCCCCGCTCCCGGCGCCGCCGCGGCCTCCGCGGCTCCAGCCCGGCTCACTTCCCTCGTCCGCCGGCCCCGGGCAGGAGGGCGATCCGGCTCCCCGGGCCGCCCTGGCCACAGCTGTCAGGGGGCAGGAGCTTCTGGGAGCCGCCATCCGAAGGTGAGACCTGTGGGGAGACAGGAGCGAAGGTGGTGAGATGGCAGCCAGCGCGGGCGGCGGGGCGAGGGCACACAGGCTGGCTATGGAGATGGGCATACTCCCCATCACCCACCCTCACCACACACACACACACACACACACACACACACACACACACACACCTGGCTCCCGGTGGCAGCGGATGCCCGCCTTTCGCCCGTGGCACCGCGCCCTGGCACCAGCTCCCTCCCTGCCCCAGCGACCTGGCCCAGCCCCAGAGGAGGTGGCCCTGCACCCTGCGCCCCCCCACCCCCCTTCTCGGGTTTGTTTGTTTGTTTATGTGTGTGTGTGTTTTTCCTTTTTTTTTTTTTTTCATTCATGACCCAATTGGTTCGGTTGATGCCCCAACGCCTGGGGCCAGTTCCCGACCTGGAGAGGTGGGAGCGATGAGGGCCAGGTGCCCCTGCGGACGGGCGTCCTAGATCAGCACAGCACCTTCTGCTCCCGGGGTTTGGTTTGTGGGGGGAAAGGTGGAAGGAGGGAGTAGAGGAGGGTGAGCAAACGACTTACTAATGCGGCCGAGTCCTCGCTGGCGGACGGCTTCCCTCCACGCGGTTCCGATGGGAGAGGAGGTGCCAGGAGCGCGGGGAGAGGGAGAGGCGCGGGCTGTGCTGGAGGAGAGGACGGGGTTAATGTCTGGGTGCTGCTTGGCGGGAAGTTTCGGCGGAGCGATGTGATTGCGAGGGGCAGGGGCCCCTCAGCTGAGGTTGAAAGGAGGGCGCAAACCGAGTCTGGGCGATAGGGGGACCCCCACGCCCCGGACCTGGGCGCCGCCGGGCCGGCGATCGCGGGCCCACCTTGGGGGAGCGGGGAGGGCGCTGGGAGCCTCCCGGGTGGAGCGCGGAGGGCGCCGCGGGGTTCGCCGTGCGTCGCGCGGGTGCACAGACCCGATCGCGGTTTGGTCCGGGTGCCTTTTGGCCGGATTTGCCCCGGGAGCTTCCCGGGGCAGCAACCAGAGACCGCCCCGAGGCTCTGGCTCGAGTTCTTTTTGTGTTTGGTGCAGCTATTGGTGTTTTCCCATCTTAAGGGACTAGCCTGGTGCGCGTTAGATAACGGAGAAGGGCCGCGGAGGCCCGGGGCGCCCGCGGGCACGGCGGGGGCACTCGGGGTGCAGTCGGCAGGATAAAGCGGCGCATTTGCATGGCAGGGCCCGGGCGGCCTGGCTGCGGCTGCCGGGCCCATTATTTATTGCGCCCGCCGGGCGGCTCGCTGCTGCCACGCTGTGGCCGCCGCCGGGACCGCGCCGCCGCCCCGCGCCTGCAGCCCGGCGGAGCAGTGCTGGGCCCCTCGGAGATCCCGGCGGGCCGTGCAGAGGGGGGCGAGGGAGGATTAAGGGGCGGTCTCCCAGGGCCTGACTGGCCGGGAACCTCCCCCGTCCTGGCCACCTGACAGGAGCCGGACTCCCGGCTAGACTCGGGTCCCCTCCCCCAGCACCATGGAGACTGGTTGTACAGGCCGCCTGGCACGCCATGGCTGCTTCTGTCCAAACTGCGCGTCCTGAGGCGCCCCGGGGGCGCACGATGGTTTGGGGAGCTCGGCGCTTTGGGATTTTGAGAGCACAGAGACCACTGGTGGCTTGAGGCCTGCGCGCCTGGCTGACCCCGAGGAGGACTGGCGATGGCAAGGAAGGCGGGCTTGGGGGCCAGGCTAAAGCCCCTGACAAGCACAGGCCGCACCTGTGTGCTGTGGGCTCCGGCCTGGGCTAGAGATCAGGGTGGGGGGGTGGCCTTCAAGGTCCCCCAACACCGGCAGGCCGTCCTCCAGGCCGGCCCGGCCAGGGTCAAGGCGCTCAGTGGGCAGCCCAGGAAAAGGGCGGATTGTGGGGCCCTGCTCACCATCCCGTCCCCTTTGAAGAGCAGCTGAAAGGTAAGTGGACTTTCTGTGTGGCTTTGACCGAGAGGAGAGCCCTGGTGGCCATTCTCACCATCCCAGTAAAGGCTCCCTCCACCATCGGGACTCCTATTCTTGCCTGAATCTCTCTCTCTCTCTCTCTCTCTCTCTCTCTCTCTCTCTCTCTCTCTCTGTATGTATGTATGTGTGTATATATATATATATATATATATATATATATATATTCAGTCACTGGTTGGAGAAATATCTATCTTTGGGTGGCTGCCAACATGATATGTGCCAGCCTTGGCTAACATGTGGAGATTTTAGTTTAATATATTTTTTCTTCTTAGTGCCTATAGGAACTGGAAATATAATGTTTTGTTTTGGTTTGGCTCTTAGCTGAGAAATCAAATTCTCTTGTTGGCTGGGAGCATTATTAGATTGAAAATCCAGGTCAAACCATAACAAATAATAATAAGAGTGGTAAATACTAGCATTGTGTGGGAACTGGAGGAACGAAGCAGAATTATAAATGTAATCATTTATCAACATCTCCAAACGGTGTGTTTTGTTTTGTTTTTTTATCTTACATAATGCCTTGCTTGAAATCACTGTCCTCTGGTGGTCTTGTTTAAGAAATAATAATTCAAACATGATTTTCTTGGAACATAGCTTTAAAAAAGAATTCCCTTAAAAATTTTGACTTTTGAGTGTTTATTTTCGCCCATCTAATCCTTTCCGTGAAGACATGCAAGGGAGATTTAAATTTCTATCCTGTCCTGCCAGGCCCTTATTTATCCATGCAAAGGAGAAACTTTCCCAGCTTCGATTGATTGGGTGCACACAACTAAAAGGCGGGTGTCTGGGCACAGCCCCCAGAGCTGGGCACAGCCACTCTCAGGGTGCACGCTAGGCTCTGTGCACCTAACTAACCTGAGTCTCGTGTTTTTTTCCAATTTTTTCCTCTTTGGGGGAAGTAAGGGGAGGGGGAAATTAAAAAGCAAGGAAGAGATTAAGAAAATCGTTTCCAGATTCCTAAGGGCCATCACCACCCCCAAGTACTGAACCCCCTTCTCTGCATTTGCCAGAGGTTTACAGAGCTTATAATCACCCCCTGGGAATGCAACCAAATCATATAAACAGCCTTTCTTCAATCTCCACAGAATTGAGGATTTTAAAGCTAATTCAAGGGGGTTTTACAAGCCCCCAAAATACAGTCGTAAAAATGCCATTGGGGGGGAAAATCACATTTTACAAAACGAGATTGCTCCCTGCATTGTAAAAGTCAGCTTTCTCCGGGGCACACCTCCTAGCTCAGGGAGCGCGGCCCGGACAGGCTTTTCTGGTCCTGTTTGGGGAAGGCCAGGCCTGGGGCTGCCGTGAAAGCAATCCAGACCATTTCCCCGAGCTCCCCAGACAGCTTGTCCCCGATCTGGAGCGCCTGTCCTGGGCAGGCCCCAGACCGGCCCCAGGAAGGATACACCCCAGGACAGTGTGGCGCCCCAGACACCAAGCACAGCAACTACCCGGCAGCCTCGGGCCTAGGCGAGCTGCCCCTAAGAGCGGCCGGGCCAGGCGCCCTGGGTCCCCCGAACCTCTGGACGGAGGACAGCTTCACTGCTGGCTCTGCCTCGGTTCTGAGCGGTCAGGGTGGAGGGCGATTCCCTGGGCTCTGAGCGAGGGGAGCAGGTCCCCGGCCCGCGGCTGCAGAGCTGTCTCAAGGCCACTGCTCCGAAGGCCCCTTTCTGGTGGGAACAGTGGTTTCTGGCCTCTCGGTTCCTGGGTTCAAAGGCGGACGAGGCCACACAGGTTTGGGGTGCTCTGAGGCTAGGCATCGCTGGCCTTCAGAGGGGAGGGAGTCGGGGACTCTAAGAGGCGTGCTGTGTGCGGGAGGAGGGGCGCCAGCGAGGGGCTGCCTTTGGCCGGCCCGTGGGCTCCAGGTGGGCCGCCCGCTCTGCGGCTGCAGGCCCGGCCCGGCTGGGCGTGGGGAAGGGGGGGAAGGGGAAAGAAGGGGAAAGAAGGGGTGCGGTGATTCCTGGGGCGCAGGGTGCGGAGCTCAGAGCTCGGGCCTGGTTTCTCAGAGCCCGTCTCCAGCTGGGGACCTGCACCCCAGGGCAGGGGGGTGCGGGGGGAGGGGCAGACCCACCCGGGCCGGGAGGGCAGGCCCCGGAGAGCCGGGCCACCCTCGTCCCCGCCCCTCTGGGCGCGGGGCTGTCAGGGTTCCTGTTTGGAGAGAAAAACCAGCAAAACCCAACGAGGCGAAGGGGGAGGAGGACGGAGCGGGCCCGGCGGGGCCTGGCGGGGCCTGGGCGCCCCTGCCCGGCCGGAGGGCCGTGCCCGCCGCTGGCGATGGGGCAGGGCGCGGGCGGCCGGCTGGCGGCCATCCATCTGCGGCGGCGGGCGCGGGCCGGGGCTGTTTGTAACTTTGCTGCCGCGGTCGCCGCGGTCCCCGGGGAGCGGCCCGGCGCGCCTCCCATTGGCCGCCGCCGCGTCAGCTGGTGCGATTTGCTGCTGTCGCTTTTGGCGTTCGGCCATCCAGAAACAAACCAGTTCGATGACTACTAATAGTTATAGCCAGATGTACTAATACACAACAAATCACGGGCCTGCGGAGGGGCGCGCCAATGAGTTCCTATTTTGTGAATCCCACTTTCCCCGGGAGCCTGCCCAGCGGCCAGGACTCCTTCCTGGGCCAGCTGCCCCTCTACCCGGCCGGCTACGACGCGCTGAGGCCCTTCCCGGCCTCGTACGGGGCGTCCAGCCTCCCGGACAAGACGTACACCTCACCTTGTTTCTACCAACAGTCCAACTCGGTCCTGGCCTGCGGCCGGCCGTCCTATGAGTACGGGGCCTCGTGCTTCTATTCCGATAAGGACCTCAGTGGCGCCTCGCCCTCGGGCGGTGGCAAGCAGAGGGGCCCCGGGGACTACCTGCACTGTCCTCCCGAGCAGCAGTACAAATCCGACGGCAGCAGCGTGCCCGGCAAAGCCCTCCATGAGGAAGGCGCCGACCGGAAGTACACGAGCCCTGTGTACCCCTGGATGCAGCGGATGAACTCCTGTGCGGGTAAGGCTTTCCCCGCAGCCCGCCCCCCAGAGAGCGGAGGGAGAGGGGGAAGGGGCAGGGAGGAAGGAAGGAAGGAAGGAAGGAAGGAAGGAAGGAAGGAAGGAAGGAAGGAAGGAAGGAAGGAAGAAAGAAAGTTTCTTTAGCTTTAAGAAAAAGATTTAAAAAAAAATACTAACCCATTCCCAATGGAGCAATCAAGCTGAGGCAGAGTGAAGGCAGGACACTAGTGTCCATGTAAGGTGACACCCTAGAGAAGTGTGTGTGTGTGTGTGGGGGGAGTGGGGGTGTCATTGCTATGTGAACCCCAAGACAGGGGCAAACTAAAGAGAGAGCCAGGCTGGGTGGGAGGGAGCTCCTGCCTACACTCGCCCTGGTAGCACCCTGCTCAGATCCCCAGCCCAGATGGCCTTCTGCACCCATCCCTGGCACCCCCCTCCCCTTCCTGCCCTTCAGACACTCACCTAGAAAGAGGCCCTCGTTTAGCCTCTTCCAGGGTTACCCCAAAGCCTTGGAGGGCCACATCCCCAGCTGCAGCGTTCTCTCTCCTCCCTCTCCTCCTCCCACTTCTACTCAACTGCTCACTTACAGCCAACTTCTGCCTCCTCCTAAGACCCTGCCTGCACCTCAGCCACCCAGCCTGGAGGGAGCCCCCACCCACGGCCCCTCTGGCACCAGAACAAATAGCCCATCCCAGGCCTCCATTTCCCGGAACCCCAGATGGCCCACCGCTCTGTCCCTTTGCCCCTCGTTCCCCAAAACTCCACAGGGAATCCTGGGGCAGGACAGTGCCTAATGCGAATTTTAAAACTTATAGTCTTTTGCTTTAGCATCCACTGTTGTTTTGTGTGTTGTTGTTGTTTTTTTTTTTCAAGGAAGCTTTTCATTTCTCAGATGGGGCCATACAATTTGAGGGGATTTGCAAAGACCTGAGAAGGCTGACCATTCTTAATTTCCCAAAAAGCACCCTGAGTGCTCACCAGCCATCCTGGGGTGCCTGGCCACAGCAACACCTCCACAGACATCCATGTGTGGATGCAGGGGTCTCCCCTCCTCACAGGGTTCCACACCCCCACTCCCACACACACACTGCACTCCCACAGAACGCGGCTGAGGTACCCCAAATTAGGAATGCCCGTTCTATTCTTTTGCTTGTATTTTTTTTTGTATTGAGCAGGGTTTTTAAAAAACAAAAAACAAACAAACAAAAAAACAAAACAAACCCAATAACTTCCCACCCAAGTCATTTCAGGTGGCAAACATCTCGCTCGGGATGAAATAATCTTCGCCACCAGAAGGCTTTTGGCCCAAGACAGTGGCAGAGGTTGGAGTGCAGGCGGGCGGTTTCCAGCCCAGGGGCTGGGGGTGCGGGGCTGCCTGGCGCAGCTGCCCAGATCGGGGCTCAGGGCGCGGGGCTCTCTGCCCGCAGGTGCCGTGTACGGGAGCCACGGGCGCCGAGGCCGCCAGACCTACACGCGCTACCAGACGCTGGAGCTGGAGAAGGAGTTCCACTTCAACCGCTACCTGACCCGCCGCCGCCGCATCGAGATCGCCAACGCGCTCTGCCTCACCGAGCGCCAGATCAAGATCTGGTTCCAGAACCGCCGCATGAAGTGGAAGAAGGAGAACAAGCTCATCAATTCCACGCAGCCCGGCGGGGAGGAGGCCGAGGCCAAAGCGGGCGAGTAGGCGCCCGGGCGGGGACCAGGCCAGCGGCGCGACCTCCCTCGGCTCTGCTCCCTCGCCTTCGCCCGCTCCCCAGCCTTTCTCTCTGCCTGCTACCATCTGGGGGGCTTACGCAGCTTCAGGGGAGCCCGGAGCTTTGCAAACGCCTGAGCATTTATTTCTTACAAAAGAAAAAAAAAAAAGCAACAACATAAAAAACAACACACACACAGCCAGTGTCAGCGGCGGAGCGGGCGGCTGCACAGACCCCGCTCCCCGAGGCTGCCCGCCCGGAGCGCCCCCAATTCGCCCCTGGCTCGTGGGTAGCGCCTCTGCTCGCCTCTGGCACGGGATCGGGGTTGCTGGAGAGGAAAGAAGCCCGGGACCCATCCTCTTTGGGTGCCTGGGCATTCTGGCCCCGGTCCCTCGCCACCAAGTCCCCGGAGGGCACCGCCAAATCGACTCTGGCCACGGCAGAGAGGGAGCCCAAAGCCTGGGGCCCGGCACCGCGGTGGCCTCCCGGGCCGCCCCCGACAGGAAGAAGCTTCGGGAACAAAGGCCCCCTCCCCCCAGAGTCTAGCCTCTGTTCCCGCACCGCCGTCCGTGGAGGAGAAGCAGCCTCCGCCGAGCGCGGGTGGAACCGGGCAGCCCGGAGCGGCCGGCTCCCGCAGGAGATGCAGCCTCCGGCGGTGCCACCGCGCTGTGGGCACCAGAGGAGGGGCCGGGGCCGTGGGAGCGGCCTGCATCATGGTTTCCAGGCTGCCAGGGCCGCCTGCGACGCAGGGCCTCCGGCGGGGAAACCCTGCCTTGCCTTTCGGCTGTCTCTGTGGTTTACTTTCATCTTTCCGAACCAGGAAAGCAACTGCGGGGATACGAGGCACCGGCTGGCAATGCTTCCATTAGCGCCCTCCATGTGCTCCTGGGGGTCTAAGCAGAACCCCGATAACGCGGCCCACACACCGCCAGCTCCCAAGCAGCGTCTGTAGCTGCGGGGGCCTCGGCCCACTCGCTGGGTTCACCTGGAACCCCTCCGACCTGGGGCCCGGCGGCTCCAGGAAAAAAGACCCGGCGCCGAAGATTCCCCTGGCTGGATCCTTAGAGCAAAGCTAACAGCAAGCCAAGGACACGAAAAAACAAAAACAAAAAACAAATTTGCATGAAAGGACCATCGGCTCGGTGATAAAAGTGTGTGGAGTGTGACCTCGCGGCGGAGAAGCGCCACACAAAAGCTCTCTCTAACAGACGCCTGTCCCTCAGGCGCGGCCGGGATCCTGTCCCTCCCGCACCCGCAAAAACAGAGCCGCGATTGTAGCTCCTGCCGAGGGCAGGATTTATTTCTGCGATGGGCTAAATGGCTTTCCCCCCACTCCCCCGAAGGTGATCTCTGCATTTTCACATTTCAGAGCTGCCGGCATGACGGGCAGAACCGACCCCAACCTCGACATAAAAACAAGAGGGGCTGCACAGCACAGCGGGGGAAATAAAAGTTGTCGCAAATAAAAACCCAAGGCACCGTCTCCCCCACCCCAGCCCTCTGCATCCTCGCCGGGCACGCGATCGGCAGCTGACGGCCTCACAATTGGTACATCCTAATGGAACTGCGAGGGAAATGCAATAATTTTGCCATAATGGGCCGTAACCTCGATTCGACCCCGGCCCTCGCAGCCCCGGGTCGGGAGCGGCGCGATGAGCCCTGCCTCCAGCGGGTGGCGCTCGAGTCCGACTGAACGGCGGCGGCGGGCGGCGGGCACGCGCCCGGGGCGCGCGCCCCACCCCTCTCGCCTCCACCCAGCTCCCCCATTAGTGCGCGAGTTTACCTCTAGAGGTCATCAGGCAGGATTTACGACTGGACAACAAAAGCACGTGATTCGGAGCCGTACCCCATATTTGGGTGCCTACGTAGGAGGGAACCAAGTACATGTCCCAGTCATTTCCATAATTCATCATAAATTGTGCAAGGGTGCTATAGACGCACAAACGACCGCGAGCCACAAATCAAGCACACATATCAAAAAACAAATGAGCTCTTATTTTGTAAACTCATTTTGCGGTCGCTATCCAAATGGCCCGGACTACCAGTTGCATAATTATGGAGATCATAGTTCCGTGAGCGAGCAATTCAGGGACTCGGCGAGCATGCACTCCGGCAGGTACGGCTACGGCTACAATGGCATGGATCTCAGCGTCGGCCGCTCGGGCTCCGGCCACTTTGGCTCCTCCGGGGAGCGCGCCCGCGGCTACGCGGCCGGCGCCAGCGCGGCGCCCGCCGAGCCCAGGTACAGCCAGCCGGCCGCGGCCACGCACTCGCCGCCGCCCGACCCGCTGCCCTGCTCCGCCGTGGCCCCCTCGCCCGGCGCCGACAGCCACCACGGCGGGAAAAACTCCCTGGGCGGCTCCAGCGGCGCCCCGGCCCCCGCCGGCGGCACCCACATCGGCGGCAGAGAGGGGGTTGGCACCGCGGCGTCCGGAGCCGAGGAGGACGCCCCCGCCAGCAGCGAGCCGGCGAGCGCGCAGAGCGAGCCCAGCCCGGCGCCGCCCGCCCAGCCCCAGATCTACCCCTGGATGCGCAAGCTGCACATAAGCCATGGTAACGCCGGCCTTCCTCCCCCCGCGGCCGCGGGGGCGCGGTCCCGCTCCCTCTCCTTTCCCGCCTCTCCCGATCCCGCTCCCGATCCCGCTCCCGGCCCCGCGGAGCCTCTCCCCGCGCCTCCTTCCCTGCCTTCCTCCATCCTCCTTCTCCTCCTCCTCTTCTTCGCGGCGCCCTGCCTTCTCAGGGTGCGGGTGGGGGTAGGGGGAGCCGCCGGGCAGGCAAGTGGAGACGCTGAAAGTGGGGGGGAAAGGAGAAAACCCATGTCTGTCGGACCCCGGCGCCCCGGATCGCGCTCCCGGGTCAGGCCGGCCGGGCAGGGCGCAGAGGTGGAGGGAGGATGGCAGTCGGGGCTGTGAATCGGGCTTGTCAGGGCGGATAATTTATGAGGAGGGCGACGCTGGGGGAAACGGCGTTCCTAATGAGAGTCCCCGAAAAGGGGCTTGGGGGCAATAGCCCCTGCGAGAGCCGGCGGGACTCTGAAGTTTGGGGGCAGGAGGAAGAGCAGGAAAGGAAAGGGAAGAAAGAGAAAGCGGGCGCCCCAAGCGTGCGGGCTGGAGCAGGCGGCGGCTCCCGGGGCTGGAGCTGGGAGGGAGAGGGAGCCAGAGGCCACTGGGGCGCTCCGAAAAGGGCCCGGCTTTGGTGGGTGGCGGGCGGCAGCCTGGAAGGGCTGTGCCCTGGCCTCGGGGCACCAGGGCAGGGCCAGAGGGTAGGAGAGGACTTGGGAGGGTGGGGGGAAGAAGAGCGAGGGATCCTCAGGGGCGCAGCTCCAGCCTCAGATGGCCTGATTGTTCCCAGAGTCCAAACCGTATTGTTTTCTCTCTAGAAAGGAAGAGGGAAGGAAATTGGGGGGGGGGGGCGAAGCGGGGGGACTTGTTGAGCTTTTTCTCTCCTGTTCACTGATCTGGACCCTGGCCCGTCCAGCTGGCGGGCTCTGGGGGCCGGGGTCTGGGGACTTGGTGGCTAAACCGCTGGCTTTTCTGTTGCAGACAACATAGGCGGCCCGGAAGGCAAACGGGCCCGGACGGCCTACACGCGCTACCAGACGCTGGAGCTGGAGAAGGAGTTCCACTTCAACCGCTACCTGACCCGCCGGAGGAGGATCGAAATAGCACATGCTCTTTGCCTCTCCGAGAGACAGATTAAAATCTGGTTCCAAAACCGGAGGATGAAGTGGAAAAAAGATAATAAGCTGAAAAGCATGAGCATGGCCGCCGCGGGAGGGGCCTTCCGCCCCTGAGTATTTGAGCGTTTAAAGTACTGAGCAGTATTAGCGGACCCCGCGTAGTGTCAGTACTAAGGTGACTTTCTGAGACCCCCCCTGTGTTCCTTCTGTGAAGAAGCCCCGTTCTCGTTGCCCTGATTCATCTTTTAATCATGAGCCTGTTTATTGCCATTATAGCGCCTGTATAAGTAGATCTGCTTTCTGTTCATCTCTTTGTCCTGAATGGCTTTGTCTTGAAAAAAAAAATAGATGTTTTAACTTATTTATATGAAGCAAGCTGTGTTACTTGAAGTAACTATAACAAAAAAAAAAAGAAAGAAAAGAGAAAAAAAAACACACAAAAAAAAGTCCCCCCCCCTCGACCTCGTTTAGTGCCAATGTTGTGTGTTGCACTCCAGTTGTTTAACTGTGCATGTGAGTGGAAGTGTTCCTGTCTCAATAGCTCCAAGCTGTTAAAGATATTTTTATTCAAACTACCTATATTCCTTGTGTAAGTAATGCTGTTGTAGCGGTGACTTGATGAGACACAACTTAACTTGTTTGACGTGTAGTGACTAGTGACTCTGTGACGAAAACTGTGACTCCCAGCGGTGTGTCCCTGCGTGCCTTTGTAGGACCCTTTGCACGAACTCTGGAAGTGGCTCTTATAAGCGCAGCTTCAGTGATGTATGTTTTTGTGAACAAAGTTACAAATATTGTCCAAGTCTGGCTGTTTAAGCAAACTGTGATCAGCTTTTTTTTTTTTTTTTTGTATTTGTTTTTAAGGAAAAAAAAAATACTGACTGGAAACAAAAACAAAAAATAAACTTTCTATTGTAAGTTCTCTTGGTCTGGTTTGTGCCAAAGAGCGAGCGGCTCTTTCTGCTCTTCCGTCTGTCTGTCTGTCGGGTCCTGGAGGCGGATGGGGTCTGAGGCTACCTGAGCAGCCTGCCCGTGCCAGGAGACCTCAGACCGACACCCCAACCCACAGCCTTCCTAAAGCTGGCCTCTCAGAAAGTTCAGGACAGAAGGTGGGGAGCGGTAGGGGTCCCCAGAGCGTCATTACAACCTGCCCATCTCTGAGGAAACCGAGTCAACTTGCTGGGTACGACACAGAGGAGAGAGAGAGAAAGGAAGGAAGCCCAGGGCTTTGTTAGCGGCCCATGGGGCCCGCACAGAGGCCGCCTCTTCCCAAGGCCATCCTGGGCCTCCACCTGAAGAGACGGCTGTGCCTCGCTGTGGCCCCCAAACTCGCTGCCTCTATCCCGCCCAGGCACCCCTTCCCACACCTCACCCTGAACCCAGTTGGCTCCTTTCGCTACAATTAATTTGCTACAAATGGAAGGTACTTACCCCATCCTAGCTCGATTGGGAAACTCCTCAGGGCAGCTAAAGCGCAACTAGAGATTTGCACATTTACCGACTGCTTACACTGATGCCGTCTTGCCTTTTAAAAGTTATAAAACAGTAAACTTTATAAGCCCCAGTTCCGGCTATATGACATTTGGGTGCCAAATGAATAGGGTTTTGTCTATGAATTAGATCGTAAAATCATCCATAGCACAGACAGATCGGCTCACTGGCTATAAAGCGTCACGTGGGGCCATTAAAGTAAGTTTTATGGTTTTGGGGAGTTGACATCCAACATTATATACCACATAACATATAATCGCACTGACGCTGGACTCCATTTGACTCTTTTGCAGGCTACGTGTGCTGCCTGGTCATTCAAATTGTCAAGTTTAGGCCCAGAAGTGTCCAAACCACAAGTTCTCAAAACTCTCTGAAAAATGGCTCCCTCCGCATTAAGGTAAGCTCGCCTCCTTGGGAGTTTATTTGCACTCTGAAAACTTTCCTCCTGGCTTTCTCCTCTCTCTCTCTCTCTCTCTCTCTCTCTCTCTCTCTCTCTCTCTCTCTCTCTCTCGCTCTCGCTCCGATCTCGGGCTCAGTAACGCTGAGGTGGCCCCCAATTTAAAAGGGGGGGCGCAAACCTGCCCTCTGGGCGCCAGAAGCGCCAGGAGCCTGCCCTGCGGGCCACACGGTGCGCGGCGCGGCCTGGCCGGCCCGGGCCTGGGGCTGCCGCCGCGGCTGCTAATGACTTCCGCCGCTCGCCCTGCAGAAAAGCTGGTTTTTGTGCGCCGATGGGCCTGGGTGTGCATTCTGGGCTGGGCCGCCCCCGTCCCCGAGCTGGTGGGTCCTGATCGCGGAGCCCGGGGTGGGGGCTGGGAGGCCGTGGGGCGCTCGGGCCAGGGCCGCCCCGAGCTGGGGAGCTGGAGAGAAAGCCCAGGCAGGCCTGCCTGCGGCCTCCGGCGGGGTTCCTTGTGGGGCTGTGGCAGTGTCTTCGCCGGGGCCTGGGCCACCGGGCAGCCCTGGATGGGGGTGGCCGCCTTGGGCCGGGCTGCAGGCGGGCTCCGGAGAGCCAGAGGGTGGCAGAGGGCGGCGGGGCGCGGGCCGCGCCTCCAGGCTGGGCCCCTGGGTTGCCAGGCGGAGCCCAGGACCCTGGCATCTACAGGGCAATGGGGACCCCGGTCCCCCCACCTGGGGGGAGGCTCCCCACCCCCCACCCCGCCCCCGGGGGCCCAGGCCCTGAACCTTGCTGGCCTGCACGTTCTTTTTATTTCGGTGGGACTGTTCTCACCCGGCTGTGAGTCTGAAGCAATAAAGTTTATGGCCGGATTTAACTTTAGTCTTTGAATCCCCAGGCTAAATGAAAGGGGTTACTGCGCTTTCTTTTCTCCCGCCTCGCCTTTCTTTTCACTCTCCTTCCTTTTCCCCTCCCCTTCTGTAGGATTTAAAACATCCTTGGGCAGGGCCCTCAAAAGGCAACTGAGGCATCCCACCACCCTTGGGAGAACTCTAAAGACAGAGGAAGGCGCTCCCCCTCCACAGCCAGGGAATTCTCCCACACGGGGCCTAAAGGTGGGGGAAATGGAGGTGTCTTCAGCGCCCAACTTAAAAGTCCCAGAGCCATTAGGTTGTTTTCCCTGACACGTCATAAAGGGTAGATGAGGGAAGAAATGGTCGTTTGTCAGTAGGAGATTTCCGCCTTTCTTTTGTTAGCTGCTCCTTCTGTTTGATCCCAGGAAATTTACATAATCTATGATTTCCAAAACAGTCCCGATATTGCACCCGCGGGTGAAGCCAGGGGAAATAAGTTTTTTCCTGGGTGCAATCCCAGCTTGGCTTCAGCCACCCCTCCGGCCCCCTCCCCCCATTCCCCAGTGGCAGATGCCGTGGCCTGTCCCCGAGGTGTTTCTCTGGACGGGTACCCACAGGGGACCCTGCGGATTTCCCCCGATCCCGGCTGAGGAATTAGGCCAAATTCTCCAACTTAGAAATGAAACAAACAGACAAAAAATGGGATCTTCTGTCTCCAGATGCTTTTCTCCTTGTGAACTGGGTAGCTCTCTGCAAGCGCTCAAAGTGAAAAAAACTTCAAGTATAGGTTTGGAGTTTCAACATACTTGATTGTATGCACAGGCCGCTCCTACCCAACATTAGCCAACAGATGTTCCCAAAGAGAGCGGTCTGAAGAGCGAAACCTGGGAAGTTCCCCTGAAAGATCCAGACCCTCCCCCAAGTCCCGCCTCTCTAGAACAGTGAGTGGCCAGGGAGACCCCAAGGTCCCTTTTTGTGCCCCGTGAACGTGGGAATTGCCGTGTCTGTGCTCAGGGAAACGTGTCTACACCTTGGTGGGGACCAGGATAGAAACTCTCTTGGGGTTTTCTGTTTTATTGTAAGAGTCTAAGGATCCTGCAGTCTTTGTTTCGCTGCTCTGAGTGTTGGGTTCTTTATTGGAAAATACTGGGTGAAGGGTTTATTTTGGTTGCTCATTTGGTGATCTTGCTCGAGTGCTTTCTTGAGGACTAAAATTAGTAGCAGGGGGAAAAAAGAGTGATAGGGCTGCTGGCAGATTCACTTGAGTAACTCGCGTGGAGGAAGTGGCCACACCACCCCCGTGGCCACATCCCACCCTGGGCTGTGGGAATGGGCAGGAGGGCTGTGGACCCATAGCCAGCATCACACGCTGTGGAGAAGCTTTCCCATGATTTAAAAAGACTCAGAGGCTATAAATTGTCAGCTTGCTTATTTCTGTCTGCTGTAATCTTCATAAAACTTTAGAGTTTAAGGAGCAGGCCAACTCACATGGAGTTAAATGACTTTTAAAAAAACAACAACACACACAGCATCCAGTCAGACCTACGTGAGCGTGCCTGGAGGAATTTTTTTCTTTCTTCCTATTTTCACAGGAAGCATAGTAAAGAGGATGGCTGGTTATCTGCTCATTTCTGTAGATAACTTATTTCTCCTGTGTGCTTGTGGGTTGTTTTTGCAGAGAAACTTCTTTAGAAAATATCTGTCCTTGAGAGCTTTATGAAGACCTCCAGCCTCAGCCGGGGGCAGAGTGTCTGCCTGTGTAAAAGGAGAAGGTGTCCGAAATGTGAGGGCCCCGCTTGTTTCTACAAGCCACGGACACAGTATTTCCTGAACTATAAATACAATAGGAAGCTTCTGGTCACACTCACTTAGGGGTTTGTGAGGGCTTCCATGGTCTAATTCCACAACATGATCCCAGGATTCCCTTTCTTCTGCTCTCCCTGCCTCACTGTCCGCGGCCCTGGGAGGGCAGGACAGAATTTCCTACCAGAAATGGAGTCAGGTTCATTTATTTGTTGAGATGTGAAGAGTATTATAGCCAAACTCTTAGCGAGGGGAGAGCAAATGACATCCTTGAAGATGGGCTATTAGAGGGGAAAACAGCCCTTTTGGCTTAAAAGATTCCCCTGGAAGCCTCTCCCTGCCCCGGCCTGGGAGTCTGCCTGAGGTTCGCCCACCATGGAGAGTACAGAACAGAACGGTGTGGCTCTCTCCCTCTGGCTTCCAGGGCAGAATTTCTTTCCAGGCAGTGACAAAAACTATAAATGGGGCTTCCAGACGGGGCTAAGGGGGTCAGCGCAGGCTCCCGCCCACACAGGAGTGGGGCACCTCGGTCCTGGCCATCCAAAGCCTCAGGACTGGAAGATTCGCCTAGGTTTGTTTTGTTTGTTTTTTTACAAAGAAAGGTTCCTTCCCCACCAGATCCCCTCCCCACAAACTGGCCTTTTCAATAATAATATTTGTTATGGAGGTTATTGGGTAATTATTGCGATTTTGTGGAGCAGCCCTCGCTAGAGGTGCAGTCTGTCATCACCTAACAAATGACGCCCGCGCAGTTCACTGCCGGGTTAAGTAAATGCAGAGAAGATAAATCTGCACACCCTAGGAATCGCCAGCAGAGCACGCTTTAGTACAAGTTCACAGTCAACTCGCCTGCCCGGGCCAGCTCGCCCCTCAATTAGGGCTGCGTCTTTATTTTTAAATAAAGGGGAAACAATGTCTCCAGCTTCCGTTACCTGCTCTCCCCATCTTCTGTTTCCTTTCGCTTTTTGCTAGGTGCCCTGCCCTGCTCCCGATTTCTCTTGTTAAATGCGATGATGAGTGATTTAAAAATGATCTCTTTCCTAGTTTAAGGGCTAACAAAAAGAGGCAGGAGGCTGGTTTGGCAGGAAACACAGTCACAAACACACACACAAATCTAACGCACCCCCTTATTCTAGAAGGCTGAGGCAGAGTAGGGCGTCCCTGAGATCCCGGGAGGGGGCCTCTCCCTGGAAGAAAAGGCCCGGCTTTGTATATCTTTGTGGTTAGTGCGTCGCAACTGCAGGTCAAAAAGTTGAGGGTCAAAAGTTTACGTTGGGCAGCACTCTTAGTCATCTGCCCAGACGGAGTTTGATGTCAATGTTAGAGCTGCGATCTTGACTATCAGCACAGAAGATAAAATGGCTCGGAGTGACGTGTGT